GTGCACGAGAGAAAACACAGAGTGCCCAGGCGGTTCTGCAATGATATGCGCCAGCTGGCAGCTTCTGAGAGGAGTGTGCTGTCCGAGGTCACATGCCTGCAGTTGGCAAATTTGCGCAGCACCAACGTGTTCGACTTCTCGCCGCACTTGGCGTGTCCCAGGGCGGCACCTAAGAAGATGCGCGCCTTCCTGGAGGAGAAGCTCGGCCAGCGCCTCCCCAGGGACAGCACGACCACGGCTCTTTCGGCTCGGGTGTCGACGTTGTCGACATGCCAATCCCGCGACATCGTGCTGCTCTCCGTTGCCAATGGTGGCAAGGCGTGTGGGGAGGTTTGGTTTCACGCTGCTGTAAACGGAACGATGGTATCGCTGGTTTCAATCTGGGACACCCCTTGCTACGATGATCGGCTCGGCGTGCTGACCGTGCACCCGACCGACGACGACTTGCAGCTGGTGCACACGACCGACATCATCACTGCCATGGCGGGGCGTTTGCCAAGTTTCCGAACCATCACCACCACTATACGGGCGTGCCGTCTGCAAGCAACTGTCCGCTTTGCACACGTGCAATTGTGAAAAATGCATGGTGGACATTTGCGATGCGGGACGTCCGTTGTGGTTGGTTAGAAAGGTTCGAAGACTTGCAAGGCATGCAGGCGCCATGGAGGCGGATCAATCGCGATAGTGCCTCCCATGTTCAAGTGGTGAGACATCGCGTGAGCTGCTACCTGCTTGCTTATGCGCAGCAGCGCAAAAAAAAACATTGCTTTCCAATGCAGGTGTCGCTCGCCTTGCGCATCGCTCATAGAAAAAACAATTCGGGAGCTAAAAATGCAGTGGCTGCACGTCAACATGCAAGTACTTGCAACTACTTGCGCTCAGTTAGCGCAACTTGTAAGTTCCGAAACCAACTTGCTAAGTCTCACCACCCACCAAACCACCCCAACCCAACCCGAAGGCTCAGATTTGCCCTCCATTTCCAGTGGGGGGGGTTCGCGGAACGTCGAAAAAACACGTATGGAACCCTTACCCCCCCCAACCCGAAATTCGGGTCTTCGGGTTGGGTTGGGGTGGTCTGGTAGGTAGTCAAAGTCTGCTAAATCTTACAACCACCCAAGTTCACCACAGCTCTGGGCTCCTCTGGGCACCTCCCCCGGGGCCGGTTTTGTGAGGATGTCTCAAGCGAGGGCGCCGGTTTGGGATTCGTCACCGGATCCACCGGATCCACCGGATCTGTCCGGAAACGGTGCCGGAGGCCGCTCTGGACTCGTGCTCTTCGCGCCGGGGGTGAGGATGACGTGAGTTCCACAGAAACTCCCTCAAATTATCGCAGCTGTGGGGGTTACGCTGCTGACCGTGCTCGTAAGCTTGCCCGCGAACGTGCATGCCGTCCGCGCGAAGGGCCGAGTGCACCCCCCCCACCGCTACGGGGAGGGAGGCCTTGTTTCGCGTCGCTCGTGGCCTCCCCCCAAGGTCTGGCATGCCCCCTCCCTGAAGGGACTGCGTCGCCTCCTCAAACCCATGCTCGCTCTTGGTCACCGCTGCTTTGCCAGAGTGAAAATCGAGCCCTTGTCTGCTTCTCCTTACTCCTCCCATCGGCGCCGCGTAAACTCGCACGAGCCGGTGTCAAGCCGTGAAACACATGCATCTGTTTAAAAGGGATGTGCGCGATGTTGAGGCGAGAGCCACATTTTGAGAACGACCTGTTTTCAGTGCGTGAAGCTTTTGCAAGTATTCTACGCGAGTGTGCGCGGCGTGAAGGCGAGTACCAGATTCTGAAAACGACCCGCCCTCAATCAACAAAGCCGTTTCCAATTTTCCATATTCTGATCATTAATGGTGAGGAAGTCTGAAGCGAAACGCCCAGCCCACCCTTTCGATTGGCCGCCTGGGGTGGTGAGGTGGGCCACCGTTGGTTCTGGCCATCAGAATTGTGGGAAAAAGGAACCCCCTCGTCGCCACGGCTGGATGCGGCTCGAGCAACTGTTTAGTTTTGACCCCACAAAGGGTCCGGGGACCGATTCTGAACAAATTTGCCAGTGTCCCCCTTTCGACCGATTGTCTCGGGCCCCATCCAGTGCAGACCCCCCGGCCCCCCCCCAACAAAGAGAGCAGGACGACGGCATGTGGAGCAGGAAACGGCAGGTTTAGGGACAGAGGAGGGAGAACAAGAGAGGAAGGACGGAGATATTATTTTTAATTGCTGTTACTGTAGACATTGCGCAGCGTGGCCGCGGAAAACGAATCAAAGCTCAGGGAACTCCATTCCCGACTTGAGAGGGAGGCCATGGCTCACCCGGGAGGTGACACCTTTGTCCGCTTTGGTCGGGGGCCAGTACTCTACAATGAGCTTGCGGGCGAGCTCGGCACAGAGAGCCCCGCACACAGCACAAACATGAATGCCTTGGACGACCTCCAATGTGTCGGACGGGCGGCAGTCAGCAGCCCTAGGGTGTCCACAAACGCCCTCCACAGCAAGGGGCGGATCCACGCGATCAGGGCTGAGGTCATCGGCAATGAGGCGGGTGAAAGGTCCAGATTCGCCCCAAGGATGGCACCGACAGGGCCAGAAGTCAGAAAAAGGGTCCGCCCGAGGGAAGGAACGGGTGCAACGGGAGTACCAGAAAACACTTATTTTCACCCGCGGGTCATGCCCATTAGCAGTGAGCCTGTTGTAATGAATGTCCACCGATCTCGCACCACCCCTCTTGCGCCGAGAGGGCAAACCAACGCGTTGGGGCAAAGGCCGGTGGGACGAAAACAGAATTTGATCTTGGATGGCCTGCAACCTACGGAGCACTTGGGACGACAATTCGCTTGCAGCCAACGTAGTGTTTGCAAGGTCAGGGGAAATCGCATGCGCGGCAGCGCCTCCAGCAGCAAAACATTCAGCAGCTCGATTCGAGTACCTTTCTACAGGTCTCAACCCGAGGATATCAATCTCAGCTTGGGTTGGGTGAGCCTTCGCCCACAAGAGCTCCACTGTGCCAGGCTTCTGGGCGAGCGGCCCATGCCCATGAGCACGGGCACAGAGTGAGCACGCCGTACGTGTTCGGCGCGTTGAAGGGGCGACGGCAAATGTTGACCACCACCAGGCATGCGGAGTACAATGCTATGTCCCCAGAGCAGCGGTCACGCAGTTGAGTAGCAGTTGAGTAAAGGCATGAAATTCTTGGATAACTCTCCTTCTCAGTGGGAGGGTGCCGAAATCGAGGGAGTCGAGACAACCATCGGGTCCACGTCGCCATATGGACCAGCCACATCTCCTTAGCCTCCAGTGCTCAGCATGCTCACCCTCAGAGCCGTCAATCCCCCAGGTCCCTCGAAAGATTTTGGCCCCATCTCGACAGCGGCCCCTGTTCCAACAAACATTAGCCTTGCGAAGGACCCAACCATATGCAGTTGTGCGTGTACCGCAATTGTGAATATCTTCTTCGGTGGCGCTCCCTATGGGGCCACGAACCCTGTGAGGGGTGTGCCGAAATGGGTGCGGCGGACGCATGTGGACGGTGGCACTGGGGCATTCAGTGGAGCTCCTTATGTGGCCACGAAACGTGTGAGGGGTGTGCCGGAATAGGTCTCGAGGACGCCTTCGGTGGAGTTCACTATGGTGCTGCGAAGCGTGTGAGGGGTGTGCCAAAATGGGTGTGGAGGACGCAAGTGGAAGGTGGCACTGGCGCCTTCGGTGGAGCTCCCTGTGGGGCCACGAAACGTGTGAGGGGTGTGCCGAAATTGGTGTGGGGGGCGCATGTGGACGGTGGCACTGGGGCCTTCCGTGGAGCTCCTTGTGGGGCCACGAAAAGTATGAGGGGTGTGCCGAAATGGGTGTGGTGGGCGCATGTGGACGGTGGCACTGGGTGGAGCTTCCAATGGGGCCACGAAGCGTGTGAGGAGTGTGCCGAAATGGGTGTGGGGACCGCATGCGGACCCCCCCACAAGGGCCTTGGATGGAGCTCCTTATGGAGCCACGAAGCGTGTGAGTGGTGTGCCAAAGTGAGGGGGGCGACGGGAAGAGGGAGGAGGGGGAAGGATGAGTAGCGGAGAACGCGTGGACCGTCTTTTCAAAACGAGGACCCAACACCACAGGATGGTTGGGACACATGATGAGGGTGGAGGTGAAGGTGGGGCAAGATAATGTGGAGGGGCATCAGCCCCCGAAGCCAAAGACATTTAAGATGCTGCCTATTAACAGCACAAGATTCAAATTGGCCAGTTCGGGCAACAATCTGATCTAGGGCCTCCGCGTTGCATTGGCACAGTTAGAAGCGGTGCCGCGAGGTCCCCGTAGCAACTCCACATCTAGGGCACAGGCCTTCAGTCGTCGAAGAGTACCTTGCGTCAACGAGTTGGGCTTCCTTCCAGCAAGCTCCTGAGGCAATGTTACGAGCCATACCAGTAGACTCGGCTTATCCATTACGGTTCATTCTAGGAAGGATATTTTGGATAACCGAAGGATCATTGCTTTCCCGAGCACCTTCACCCAAACAATGATCCAAAGTACGTTCCCAGGAATTGGTTCGGCAACGCTTGGAAAGGGCAATCCATCGTGCGGGGGGGGAAGCATCACCGGCGACACGAAGATCGATGGAAGCATCTCCGCATCCTTTACAAACGGCAGCCGAGCATGCTTCCCAGGACAGGTCGAGGAGAAGCACCGCAATCGTGGCAGCGATGGAGATGTTGACCTGCCTCCAGCGGCAGCTCGCAGGGATGCGAGAACACACAGAGAAGCTTAGACCAAGCACGGCCAACTCCATGCCTACGCTTAAGTCTGAGGTCTTTCCAGACCTGCGAACAAGACACCAACTGCTCATGGCAGATGAAGGACGGAGGAAGCATAAAAGGAGCAGGCGGGGGGGACAGGCGAGGAGAGGCGATGGAGAATGCGGAGGAGGAGTATCATGCCGAGAGGGTGAAGGGCGAAGAGAAAGCCGCAGTTGGCGGGTCGTCGTCCCCCCCCTTCCCCCCCTCTTGAGCCTTCTCAACCGTGCCACGCCGAGGGCGGACGGCGCCCAGACCTCACGATCGACTGCGACGACGGCAGCACGTCCAGCAGCGACTCGTGTGCAGGAGTGCCATCTCTCCCTGCATCAGCCGATGCATGCTGCGGGCGGTCATGCTCCGTGGCAGCTGGTGCCACTCCGTTCCGCTTCCTCCCTCCATTTCGTTTCCTCCTTTTCTGTGCATCTTCTCTCTCTCTCTCTCCCTCTCTCTCTCATTGTATCCATATATATATATATATATATATGTATGTGGATGTATGTTTCGTCTGTCCCTGTCTCTATGTGTGCAAGTGGCACGTGCGTGCCCAGGCTAACACAAAAACATGTGCAGGATGTGTGTATGTGCGTGATGTGTGCGTAAGGTTTGGGTTGCGTGTGTCGTGTATCGTGTGCGTGTGTTGTGTGCTGGATGTTCTATGTGTGAGGTATGTGCGGGTCATGTGTGTGATGCGTGTTATGCGTGTTCGGTGTTCTGTGTGTGCGTTTGCGTTGTGTGTGTGCGTTGTTCGTATTGGTTGTGGTGTATGCGATGCGTGTGTGTGTGTGTGTGTGTGCGTTTGCGTGCGTGTGCGTGCGTGTGGGAGTGTGTAGGGGGGGGATGCGTGTGTGCGTGTGTGTATGTTCTGTGTGTGTGCGGTCTGTGTGTTGTAGGTGTTTTAGAGGTGTGCTCGGTTTGCCGTGTCTGTGCGTGTGGTGTATCGGAGACGCCTACGGCGAATCACAGCGGGTCCTTGTCTCGTGGAATTGCCCATGTGGCCAAGCGTTGTGGCAAGAGTTGTGCCAAGCTATCGGACCATGTTTTCCCCCAGCCGTTGTGGAAACCCTTCGGGGATCATTTGGCGGTTGATGGCGGGGAAGATCAGGAGGAGGAGGAACAGGAGGCAGCATTCTGGGAGACTCGGGGGGCACTCTTGGGTGCCTCCTGGGAACCTCCTTGGAGCCTCTTGGAGGCATCCTGGGGGCCTCCTTGGGCCTCTTCGGGGCTTTGGGTGGCTTCTCGGGACCTCGTTGGGAGTCTTGGCGTCTTGAATGCCTTTTGGGCAGTCTCGGCGCCCTCATTGGGCCGTCTTGGGGGCGCCTTGGGGGCCTCTTGGGCCGTTCTGCGACCATCTTGGAGTCCTCTTGGGCGATCTTGGGGCGATGTTTGGAGGCTCGTGGTCCGTCTCGGGCCGATGGAAGGCCGACCAGACGCACATTCAAACATCCTTCACAAGCCCACAGAGCATCAATGATTTTAGCTTCGTCGGGCCTTCTTGGTGGCTTTCTTGGGGGCCTCTTGGGTTGTCTTCGAGACGTCTTTGGGGCCTCTTGGGCCGTCGTGGGCCATTTTAGAGCCGTCTTGGACCGTCTTGATGGCCTCCTGGCCCGTCGGAAGCCGTCTTGGGTGCCTCGCTGGGCTAGCTTGGGGCTTTCTTGGGGTTCTACAGGGCTGCCTTGGAAGCCATGTTGGGCGTCTTGAAGGCCTCTTGGGCGCTCTTGGGCCGTCTTGGGGACCTCTTGGGCCGTTCGAGGGCCATCTTGGAATTCTCTTGGGCGATCTTGGGGCGATGTTTTGGGGCTCGTTTGGGCCGTATCGGGCCGTCGGCAGGCCGAAAAGACACACATGCAGACATCCTTCAACACCGACCTTGCCTGGAGACTTCTTGGTGGCCTCTTGGGCCGTCTTGGGCCATCCTGCAGCCATCTTGGGCCGTCTTGATTGCCTCCTGGCCCGTCCGACGCCGTCGGGAGCCGTCTTTGGGGCCTCCCCAGGCCGACTGTGTGAGGCCGATTTGATGTGCGTTGGGATCTCGTGGGAGACTTCTCGGGGGGCCTCTTGGAGGCAGTTTTGACGCCTCTTGGAGGCCGTTTGGGGGCCTCGTGGGGCCTCTTGTAGGCCTCGTGGGGGCTTCTTGGGGCCTCTTGGGGGCCTGTTGGGGAACTCTGGCGACCTCCTGGGCGCCTCTTGGGGCCTCCTTGGGGACTCTTGGGGCGGAGGGCTCGGATTTTCCGTTCGTGTTCCTTCGTGTGGGTCCTTTTCGGTGCTGTCTTGGGGCCTCCTTGGGGCCGTTCTGGCCGCCTCGTGGGTTGTCTTGGGACTCTCTTGGCCCGGTTTGAGGCCCTCGTGGATGCCTCCCTGAGCACGAGCAGTGATTCTGGCCTCTTGGGGCCCTCTTGGGAGGCCTCTTGGGAGGCCTCTTTTGGGCGTCTTGGAGGCCTCTTGGGCCGTCTGGGCGCCGTCTTGGGGCCCTTCGGGGCCAGGGACAATCACATGGCAACGCTCGGGGGAGCTCGGGGGTCACGCGCCTCGCCCCCAGGAGAGTTCGGCCGAGGGGCGCCGCACCCCTTACAGTCAAGAACCCGAAGAAGGACGCGCGACTTTGCTCATCGTACCCTTGCGTCCTTGCTCTTCCTTGCTCTTGCGTCGCGTCCTTGAGGTTTCCGTCGCCCGCCGCCCCTAAAGTCCCAAGTTCGGCTTCCAAGGGTCTTGCGTCCTTCCCGCGCGTCCTTATTAGGGTTTTTGACTCTTGATTCCTCAGGGGTGGTGAGAGGACCTGAGGGCACGCCCACTCCGTGCCCGGCGGCACAGTGGCGGTGTGCACGGGTTTGTGTGTATCGGAGGCGGCAAAGAGGGGGGTGATGATTAGGGGGGGCTGGATATCATGGCGGGGGCCATGATATTTCCCCAGATCTCATGGCGCCTCTTCTTGTTTCAATACGTCCTCGGGCCCCCCGCTGGGCCGCGCACATGCCGCCGGTCATGATTTGCACCCCCCCCCCTCTTGGACCCCCCCTCTTGGCCGCTCCCGAGTGTATGTGTGTTGTTTTGTTGTGTACTATGCGTGCATTGTACGTCGGAGCTCGATGCTGGGAGGGCGACTCGGGCGAACGTGAATCGCAATGGACAGAGGATCGTTTCCTGGAGTATGTCTCGGGCGAAAGTGCAATGTTCCAAGAATCTGGCTCGAATTATTGAATTCGACTGTGTGTTTGAAGGTTCTGTAATAAGCTGATTGAAGCAGGCTGTGCTATTGTACCGTAGCGTTGCGATCTGCGTGAGGGGTGCCACCGATGCTCAGAAGTGTGAGGTTGTCCTAAGCGAAACGGCCAGACATAATCTCGAACGGGACGGGAATCAATCGCATCTGAGTCCAACTCCTTCGGAGAGGTGCGTATGACCATATGCCTATACGTGCTAATGTGTGTGTAGGTGTATGCACACGTGTCAGCGGAAACTGGAACCATTATGTTCGGTGTCATCTGTTTCTCTTCTTGCTACGTGTGTGTCATCTTCCAGATGTCTCTCTCTCTCTCTCTGGCTTGTGTTCTCGCTCGCGCGCTCTCTCTCTATCTCTATCTCGCTCTCTCTCTCTCTCGCTCTCTCTCTCTCTCTCTATCCCTCTTTCTCTCTCTATATATATACATATCTCTTAGCCTTTAAAAATATACATATACGAGCCGTACACAATCACAATGTAGAGATGCTGATGTATAACATGTGTGATCCCCCTGGCCCTGTACACATACACGCGTGCAAATAATTATATACATATGTGCACAAACAAATCAGCATACGCACATATCCGAGGAACCGACACTCAGAATCGATTGTTGGTGTAGCCGTTCCGTTCGCGTTGTGTCCGGCTGCTTCGCTAGGGACATGCTTATAATTCTGAGTATCGGCCGCATTCTTCACGCATATCGGGACGTCAGCGTCCAACAACACAAGGAATGTTCAACCATGTACTATCACACTCCAGGAGCTGATTGGCTGTCGTGGGTACTGCACATCATTGTTTGGTCACGCGTTGTGTTAGCACAGTTTCCTTATTACATCTTCAGCGTCGCATGAGTAAGCCATCACCCAGACAATATAATTCAGTGATGCTACACATACCTGTACAACTGGGGTTCCCACTGTAGTTCTCAAACGTTGCTCCAAGACCTTTTTGTTTTTCATGACCACAGGGGTGCCTCTACAAATCCCATCTGATCGGAAGCTGTGGCATCCTCGTGAGGGGCCCCCCAGTTCCTTTTGCATGAGCCTGGGCACGCACGTGCACGTGCCTGCCAGCTACGTCTTGGAATCTCGGGAGCGCTGCGAGAGCGCGGATCCGCTGCGTGTTCGCGAGAGAATGTGGCCTCGGGAACGCGGGTCCCAGGAGCGCGGATCCATTGTCTGTTACGAGGGATCGTGGCCTCGGGAGCGCGGCCCAGATGCGTTTTCGCGGAAAGGGAGGGAGAGATGCACGTGAATGTGTGTGTGTGTGACGAGAGGAGGGGGCGAGGCCCTACTACGCAGCCCTTGGCATCCTACCACGCGTCAACGTGCCCGAGGGGCACGGTGGCGGATCTGTATGCCTCTCTCTCTCTCTCTCTCTTTTTGTCTCTCCCTCTCTGACTTGCTCTCTCCTCTCGCTCGCTCGCGCTCTCTCTCTCTCTCTCTCGCTCTCCTCACATGCGGCGTGCAGATCCGAAGTCCTCACATCCCCCTCTTGAGGGGGCGCCGGCTGCTGGACCCAGTGCTTGCGCTCATTCTTCATTACCTCCCCCCCTGCTTCGCCCCAACGGCATGCTGGCCTGGCTCGCACGCCTGTGAACGTTCCCACTCCTTGCCGTCCGACCCCGCCGTCTGCCGGCACCATCCTCTTCATCGCCGCTTCTCTTCCACCCTTTGCCTGGCGGAGATGCCTTGATCGAAGGAGACACAACGCCATGAACAGAAAATGTTGGCGCTCCGCGCGAAACCAAGGCACCCGTGCGGAGCGCCACAAGTTTATATGTATATTGTTTTGTTCTTTCTCTACAGTCAAAAATCCTAATAAGGACGCGCGACTTTGCTCAGGGTACCCTTGCCTCCTTGCTCTTTCTTGCTCTTGCGTCCTTTTGGTTTTCGTCGCCCGCCGCCCCAAAAATCCCAACTTCGGCTTCCAAGGGTCTTGCGTCCATACCGCGCGTCCTTATTAGGGTTTTTGACTGTATGTTTATGCTGTTTTGTTCTTCTTCCACTTGACGTGTCTTGGAGGCGCCGGGGGAGCTCCGTGCGGCGGCCTTTGCAGAGAGCCTGCGCTGGCGCAGTGGGAGCGCGCGAGGCCCGCAGCAGCCTTCACAGGCAGGAGCAGAGAGCGGAGAGGCCAAGACGACGACGGCGGCGGCGGCCGGCGGCGACGGCGACGGCGACGGCGACGACGACGACGACGACGACGGCGGCGGCGACGACGACAGCGGCAGCGGCAGCGGCAGCGGCAGCGACGACGGCAGCGACGACGGCCCGAGCTGGCAGGACCGCAGCCACCGCCGCCCTCGACGCCGCCCCCGCTGCCGCCGACCCCGTCGGGGCAGCCAGGCGTCGCGCACCGTCCCTGTCGTCGTCGTCGCCGCAGCAGCCGCTGCCGCCGCCGCGATGTTGTCGTTGTCATCGTCGTCGTCATCATCGTTGTCGTCTTCGTTGTCGTCTTCGTGGTCGTGGTAGTCGTGGTGGTGGCGGTCGTCGTCGTTGTCGTCGTCGTTGTCGTCGTCGTTGTTGTCGTCGTCGTCGTCGTCGTCGTCGTCCCGTCGTCGTCGTCTCGGAGCGAGCTGGGAAGGGGGAGGGTGCGATGGACGAGTCAGGGGCAACATTGGGAAGGGGGGGGTCGGCCGAGGGGGGAACGCAACGACCCCCGATCGCCCATACCATCGGGGTCCGATAGCCCACCCCTCGCGGGAAAGTCGGGTTTGGCAATCGGGGGCCTATCGCTGATCCGTCGGCGACCTGTTGCCGATTGCACTGCGATGTTTGCCCCCCCTGAGGCGGTGCCCCCCCGATCCTTCCCACTCACGGAGTGCGGCGTGACGTCTCCGCGACGGCTCCGGCTCTGCAGCTCGGCGAGGTGGCCCAATTCCGACCGTTGTGGGCAGCGCCCAGGCGATCGGCGGGCGGCGAAGGGGAGGGGGAGGGGGGGGGGGTCAGGGACGGGGACTGGTAAGGCGGGGATGGGCTTGGGGAGGACGGACTACGGATGAGGAGGAAGAGGGGGGCGAGAAGGACGACGAGGGGGATGAGGGGGAGGGGTAGGTGCACGTGGGCTTTGTGGCATTCTTGCTCGACTCTAGGGCGTAGTTGGGCATTCTGCGGAGTTCGGAATGCTTTGTGAAGAGGGAGAGAAAGGTGGAAGGAAGTTCGCGCCCGTGCGAGCCGCAGGATGATGGTGCGCCCAGGTTGGCCGGGACCCTCATTCCCGTGCGGTTTGTTCGGGGCGGGATTTTGATTGTTATTTGCCAGTGGGCGAGTGGGACGTTCAGGAAGCAACTTGCACGCGACAAACAGCAACATGAACGATTCTCCCGCAGCAGGAGCTCGCAGAACGAGGACGAGAGCCCGAGCAGGATGATCCGTGCCTCCCCTCTTCTCCTCCTCCTCCTCCTGCTCCTCCTCCTGCTCCTCATCCTCCTCCTCCTTTGATTTTTACGCAGACATGGATCAGCAATGGATGTCGCGTCAATCGATGCCAGATCCATGATTAGCATTTAGTCGGGCCTTTCCCTCTACAGAAGGAATATTCAAACATAGCCAAAAATAGTATGGGGACGATTTCCCTCCATTTTCCAGTATTTCTTGGCATTTCGGAAGTATTTGTTATTATAGTCTGGGGCTCTAATGTTCCAACCTACTTTAGTCATGATCGCGAGAAAGAATTTCGAGCCCCCCCAAAAATAAGACACTGTTTCGACACTTTTCCGGGCGCTCGAATTTTTTCTGGGATGTGGTCCTTAAGCACGATGGGGGCAACATAAGTTTGGGGACGATTTGTCTTTCATTTTTGCGCATTTTTTGTTGTATGTCGGGGGTATTTGTTGTTTCGTCCAAAATCCGCTTGTAGGGGGACATGCCCGACCTAAGATTAGCAGCAGCAGCACCAGATCAGATCGCAGCGGTACACGAGTAGCGACTACAATCGGCGCACGCGGCAGCGGCACAATCGCCAGCGACCGGACAGGCAGGACAGGCATCACACGTTCGATGCAGCAGCTGGGTAGACGGCAAGGAAAATAGCTCTCGCCGATGGTTTTGAATCCGATGCCTATGTATCGATACGGATCTCGGAAGGAATTAGCGAACAAACATGCCACATTCATCTGACAGTGCCCCCCAATGATCAATGGTGACGGTGGGATGAATGAGTTGCACTTCTACCGCTGTCTCCCCCGCGCGTGCACACTTCGAGTTTTTGGGATAGAGGGGGTTCCACGGATTGTTTCCATCTAGCCGTACCCATGGTACACGAGTCCAACAGTGTTTCGACATATATATATATATATATACATACACACACATCCCGGAGTGCAGTCGCAGCCGAATTTGACGAGGTGGATAATTGATGAACAAGGGAAACATGAGGAGTCGATGTGGCAATTTGAACGTGCAGGAATATGTGATATCTCTGACCACCACTCTGAGCAAAATCCTTGATATACCCCTGGTTAGTCGCAAATGATGTTCCCTTGAGCGGCTAGCGTTTTTGTTTAGCGACGGGCGGAGTTGTTCCTGCGGCCACGACTCTCAGTCACAACCGTGAGTGATACCTAGATGCAGACCGCAGCTGGACGAACATGGTGATGCCGATACAGTGAAAAGTCAGGTGAACAAGTGTTGTGGTAGCGACGGCTGGCAGAAATAACCGTGGTCTCTACGACCACCGTGCTTGGAAAGCACGCGAGGCATCCCTGCTTTCTTTCGCGACTGGTGTGCGTGTGTGCCGGCGACGACGCCGACGCCAGCGCCGCCGTCGTCGTCTTCGTCGCCCTTGCCGCTGTCGGTCTCGTCTTCGTCGTCCCCGTCGCCGTCGCTGTGTGCCGCCCTCGTCCTCGTCCTCGTCCTCGTCGTCGCCGCCCTCGTCGTCCTCGTCGCTGTCCTCGTCCTCGCCGTCCTCGCCGCCGCCCCCTGCGCCGCAGCGACCCCGAGCTCGGGGTCAGCGCTTCACGGCACCGGCGGCTGCAGGCCTCGCCACAGCGCCCCGGCCCCCCCCCCAAGCGTGTGTTTCCTGCCGCCTCCTCGCCCCTTTTGCCGCGCGTGGAGGGCGCCGGCCGCCCCGCTCCTCGCACGCCCTCCGCGTCCTCCTCGCCCTCACTGGGCTCGAAGGAACAAAAAGAACGCCATAGATCGGAGCCCCGAATCATCAGGAGTAACTCGGGTCAGGGATAACTCGGGTTCGTTTTTCGGGAATCCAAGCCCGAGTTACCCCGGACCCGAGTTACCCCGGATAACTCGGGCGTCCAGAGCCCCGAATCATCAGGGGTAACTCGGGTCAGGGCTAACTCGGGTTCCTTTTTCGGGAATCCAACCCGACTTACCCCGGACCCGAGTTACCCCGGATAACTCGGGCGTCCAGAGCCCCGAATCATCAGGGGTAACTCGGGTCAGGGCTAACTCGGGTTCCTTTTTCGGGAATCCAAGCCCGACTTACCCCGGACCCGAGTTACCCCGGATAACTCGGGCGTCCAGAGCCCCGAATCATCAGGGGTAACTCGGGTCAGGGCTAACTCGGGTTCGTTTTTCGGGAATCCAAGCCCGACTTACCCCGGACCCGAGTTACCCCGGATAACTCGGGCGCCCAAATATACATAAACTTTGAACGCTCCGCGCAAATCACTTGGATCCGCGGCAGGGTGCCCCCCCGGCAGCGCCTCCGGCGCCGCCCCTGGCGCGCTCCGCGCGCCAAGGAGGGGGGTCCAGCGCAGATCCAAGAAGTCCGCGAAGAGCGTTGAGTCGACAGTTGTTGTTTATACAGTTGTTTGCTCCTCTAAGGGCTCCTTTCGACTCCTCCCCCGGATGTACATTCGATTCGGATCCGAGTTCGGATGCCGATCCGGAGATCGTTGTTTGGTCTGGAGGCCCTGGTGGCCTGCCGATCTCCGCCGATGCGGCTTCTCCCGGCCCAGCTGCCGATCCCAACCGATGCGGTCCATTTCGATCGCCGACCCCATTTGTCGATTCGATTGTGGGCTCTCCTCCTGCCCCCCCATCCCCCCCCATCCCGTTCCCGCCCTGCTCGCCCTCGATGGGCACTCCACTGTGTGCCCCGGCGGCCTTGCAGCGCGCAGCGCGTGGTCGGGTTCGAGAAGGTAGGTGCGTCAAAGGCACCATCTTCCGATCAGAGCGCGCCTGGTCTTCGGAAGCTTCCCCCAGGAACCCGACCAGTTCCCTCATCCCCCCCCCGTCGTCCCTCCCCGCTCATCCCCTCGACCCCTCTCCCTCTCCTCCTCAAGAACGGTTTTTCGAAGGCAGATCTGCCTTGTAAGAACGGTTTTTTGAAGGCAGATCTGCCCTCAAAAAACCGTTCTTACAGAGTGGACCAGTCTTTCCTCCTTGCAGGTAGAGTGCGAATCCCCCCTCCGTCGCCCCTCCCCGCTCATCCCCTCGACCCCCCCCCTCTCCTCCTCCGCCTCCTCCCTCACCGCCGCCGCCGCCCGCCGTGCCGCCCGCCTCCCCGCCGACGCGAGCGGTGGCCTGGCCCGAGCGCCGCAGCGAGGCTAGCCCAGCAGACAGACGGGCGGTCGTTTTTGGGCGGTTGAAGTGCACACCTCTCATAGGGGGTGAGGAGGGATGATGCGGAGGAGGAGGAGGAGGAGGAGGAGGAGGAGGAGCAGGGAGTATTAGCAGGGGGAGGGCGGCGACGACGGAGGGGGAGGAGGTGGTGGATGAGGTGAGGATGGAGCAGGAAAAGCAAGAGGATAACCCCAGGAAGCATTTAAGAACCCCCCCCCTCCGGCAAATCGATAACCCTTCCGCACCATCATCCATATCCGCATCATCATCATCATCATCATCATCATCATCATCATCATCATCATCAGCATCAGCATCATCATCATCATCATCATCATCGTGTCCGGGTGCTACAGCTATCGTTCGGTTATTTCGGCCCTTCGGAATATCGAATAAGAAATGCGGTGCTTCGATATCGCCGGGGGGGTCCTTACATGCTTCCTGGGGTTACGTTCGCTCCTCCCTCGCCACTTCCGCTTCCTCCTCGCCCGCCCCGCCCCTCCATCACCTCCTTGGACGGGTGCCGTGCCCCGTGGTTCGGGGAACAAGAAGTGGCATAACCATAACAATCCAGAGGTCCGCGCGGATCTCTCGGGTCGGCGCTGGACACCCCTCCCTGGCGCGCGGAGCGCACCAGGGCCGGCGCCGGAGGCGCCGCCAGGGGGGTCCAGCGCCGATCCGAGAAATCCGCGCGGACCTCCGAGCTTTTATGTTTATGCCACTTTTTGTTCCCTGGGTGGTGCAAGCCAGGCGCTTCTGAACTGGACCCCGCGGCCGCCCCCGGCGTGGGCGGGGCACGTGGCCGCGCCCACGGCCGCGACCCCGCGGAGACACCGGGGCGGCGTCGTGCGGGCGCCCCGCGCGCAGCCCATGCCAGGAGCCGCGCGCGCGGGGGCGTGGTGCCCCGGTGTCCGGGCCGGCTGGGGCGTGGAGGTGGATGCGTTCATCGCTCGTGGGTCCTGCCGCCCGCTTGTCCTCCTCCTCTCCCTTCGTCCAACTCCTCCTCCTCCGCCTCCGCCTCCAACTCCTCCTCCTCCTCCTCCTCCTCCTCCTCCTCCTCCTCCTCCTCCTCCGCCTCCTCCTCCTCCTCCTCCTCCTCCTCCCCCTCCTCCTCCCGAGGGGGAAGTGGTCCGCGGCTCGAGGGTCGAGGCTGTCGAGCGCTCCCCTCTTGGACCCCCAGAGGTTTCCAGGACACCTCAGGAGGTCTACCCCCTCGCCCGCGTTCGCCTCTCCTCTCCTTCGCTTCCCCCTTCCTGCTCCCTTCATCCTGCCTCCTCCCTTCTCTTTATTCCCCCGCATGGTCGCGTTCGATCGCCCCCCCCCCCCCTCTCGCCTGGGTCGGATCTCTGAGCGGTGTTGGGCGTCACGGCTTCGTGCTGCGATCGGCCATGTGGCTGACCCCTGTGGTGTCTCTGTGGGCGCTCTTCCAACTTGGGCCCGCTCCCGTTCCGCAGGGCCCGGCGGTTGCAACACCTGGGGCCCCAGCCCCCCGTCACCATTCCCCCCTCATTCCGCCCTTCCCCCGTCCTCAACCTCACCCACCCTTGTTCCTGCTCGCGGAAGCAGCATCCCAGACATGGTACAATATCGCAACCAAATTGTGACGCTTTGTTGCCCACGTAGCCGGCACCCGGCGAACCATTGGACATAAAAAACGTCGAGATGGACCCCCAGGTGGAGCAGAAAACGATAGATTTGGACACATTGTGGCGGTCAGCGGAAATTGTGGCACGACGACCTACGAAGTATCCTGCCTTTCGTGCGCCGGAGCGACAGCAGCGGCACAAGACGGCACCGGCGTCGTCACGCAACCTTTGCGTTGCAAGCGCTACGACGTCAGCGACACCAGGTGGCCACAGGGCAGTGGCAAGACCGGGGTGCACCCCAGGTCGCCCGCGGGCCGCGCGAGATTCATCGCGCGGTTGCCATTATCCGATGGGGGGCGACGTGAGGGCGCGCAGACGACCTCGCACCGCGGGGCGCGGCTCGAGGAGCTGGGCGACGTGGTTTGGCACATGTTGAGAGGCTGCTGCCTCGCGCGCCTGGGGCCTTGCCCAAGCGGGCACGGGCACGCGCGCCTCACCGCACGTTGTGGGGGCCGTCGCATCGCTTGTTCGCTCGGCCCTGCTCGCACGTGGCGCTCTTCTCCGAAGGGTCCGAGGAATCGCTCGGGCTGGGCACGATCGTGCCGGCCCAACCCACGCCCTCCCCCGGTGCTCGCCCGCAAGAAGCGCATATGTAAAAAAATTGCTCGCACATGAGCGGGACAAGGAGGAGGAGGAGAAAGGAGGGAGGGACAGGGGGAACAGGAAAAGGAGGATGGAGTAATGGAGGGAGAACGAGAAGGAGGAGGAGGATGAGGAGGAGAAACACGAGAAGGAGGACGAGGAAGATGAGGAGGAGGAGGAGGAGGAGGAGGACGAGGAGGCGGAGGAGGACAAGGAGGAGGAGGAAAAGGAGGAGGGGGAGGGGTGGGGGGAGGAGGAGAGGAGGAGGAGGAGGAGGAGGAGGAGGAGGAGGAGGAGGAGGAGGAGGAAGAGGAAGAGGAGGAGGAGGAGGAGGAGGAGGAGGAGGAGGAGGAGGACGAGGAGGAGGACGAGTGGTGCACGGTGCACGCGCCAGGCGGCCACAGATGTGCAGCGCGGTGCTCGGCAGCTGAAGCACGACTTCATGCCGGCGGCTGCTCGCCTCAAAAAGCGACGCGCTTTGGGCCAGGGCCCGCCGTCCAGGAACCCTCGTACTTCGCGGGACCGAACGCGAACGCTCAGCGCCCGAACATGAAAGCTCGGACATCCAACCCTTTTTTTGTTTCTCTCTCTCTCTTTCTCTCTCCCTGTCTCTCTCTCTGAGTTTCCCTTCACCTCACCTCTGCTCCGATGCCCATTGCCCTCGGTGTCCCCTATCACCCTGCTTCCCCCACTTCCCATGCACCTCCGAGCTCCTTCCCCCCCCACCCCTGGAAACATCCTGCCACCTCCCACAGGCCACAATGAGCCCTCGAGAGCCCCCCCCCGCCAGCACATGTTGATCAGGCCCTCCAAAACATCCTACTGGTGCTCATCATCCCTCCTCCTCCTCCTCCTCCTCCTCCTCGTCCTCCTCTTCCTCTTTTTCCTCCTCCTCGTCCACCTCCTCCTCCTCGTCCTCCTCCTCCTCGCATCCCCCCTTCCGCCAGAAGCCCCGAGCCTCCCTGCAAGGCCGTGCGCATGGTTCTGGAAGCCCCAGGGCTGCGTGCACGGCCAGGCCCCAAGCGGCGCGCCTTCTCTGGCGGGAGCGGTCTGCGGCAGGAGAGGGTGCGTCGGAGAAGAGCAGGGTTGGACTTAAGTCGGGTCTGTCCCTCTACAGGGGGAATATTCAAAAGTAGTCAAAACATAGTCTGGGGACTATTGTTTGAATATGTTGTGACCATTTGGGAGTATTTTTCCAATATTTTTTTGTTCGTGGAACATCCCCCTGTAGAGGGACACGCCCGACTTAAGGCTGGACTGAAACGTTGTTTTGCTGGACTTCGGCTGTGTGGTGTTTTTCGTTATGGCAGGGAGGTGCAGGAGAACAGGTAGAGCAAAACGAAGCACAGCACGAAGACAAAACGAATAACAGCGCTCAGGTCCAGCCATGGAGAAGGAGTGAAGGGGAGGGAAGGGGATCGAGGGAGGGGAGGGGAGGGGAGGGAGTCGAATCAGACAGAGTTGCGTGAACTTGCACGCTCTGAGGCCCGCGCAGAGTCCTGGGATCGGTGCGGGCCTTCGAAGGTGTTCTGCTTATGGCATGCTCCCCAGACCCGGTCAGGTTTGCCAAGAAGGTTCTCTTACCAGAAGTGCGTGCGCCATGTCAAGAGATGCCCAGCAATGCCACACACACACACACACGAAGAAGAGGATGATGTGGCTGACAGGCTTCATGATGCCTTGACGCCCTCGGCCGGAGGCCGAGAAAGTAGTTAAAGGTGTGGAAGAATCCGGCCACGCACAGCCTAGCCGGAGTCAGAAAACATGACACACACACACACACCGGCAAGCAACGCCAAGCAAGGTCAAGCAGCGCCGCGCAGTGCGAAGCAGTTCCAAGCAGTGCCCCGCGGTGCCCAGAAATGCCAAGCAGTAGAAAAGCAATGTCAAACCATGCAACATGACGCCAAGCAACGCCAGTAAACACCAGGCAATGTCCAACAACGCCAAGCACTGCCAAGAAACGTCGAGGAACGCCAAGACATAATAAGCAATGCAATGCAATGCCGAACAGTGTCGTTTGGGAAGCGTTCCCCTGATTAGGTTGGTCTTCAGAGGAGGGCAGAGAAGGAGGAGACAGCGGGAGTTTCGGAGGAGGGGTGCTCAAGCATGTGTTGTTTGTTGTCCTGGTGTGCTCGTAGGGATGAAGAGTGATAGGCCATGTGTATTGTCAAGTGATTGCGATGCCCGCTTGATGTCCCGTCTTTCCTGTTAGACATCCCAATCGGCCAAAGCGTGATCAAGCTATGCCAGAGAGGAGAGATCCGCTCAGTGGCACGAGTCGTCTGCCCGACCGCCCGCAATGCGCGGCAGGGGGCAACGGCGGGAGCCAGCAGTGAGGAGGAGGAGGAAAACGAGGGGGAGGAGGAGGAGGAAAACGAGGAGGAGGAGGAGGAGGAGGAGGAGGGGGGAGGGAGGAGGGGGAGGGGGGGAGGAGGAGGAGAGGAGGAGGAGGAGGAGGAGGAGGAGGAGGAGGAGGGGAGGAGGAGGATTCGAGAGCTGTGCACGTGCACCGATCTTGGCCTGGCCCATCCCGGGCCCAGGGTCGGCGCCAGGTGCCCTCCTGGCCCAGGCGGGATGGCGTAGGCACCGATCCTCCTCCTCCATCCTCCTCCTCCTCCTCCTCCCTCCTCCTCTCCTCCTCCTCCTCCTCCTCCTCTCTCCTCCTCCTCCTCTCTCCTCTTCCCCCTCCTCCTCCTCCTCTGTCCTCCTCCCCCTCCTCCTCCGACTTTCGCACGGTCTGCGCCTCGCCGGGCGCCCCTGCGCAGGGGCGCGGCGCGCCTCGGGCCAGAGTCGGTGTAGGTGCATAGGTTTATGTCGGGCGTGTCCCCCTACAGGGGGATCTTTCGATGGAAAACACAACAAAAATACCCCCAAACATGATCAAAACATACTCCAACAATAGTCTGGGGACTGTTTTTGTCCGTGTTTGTTTTCTACCTTTTTGGGGGAATTTGTGGTGTAGTGTTTTGCTTTTTCCGTACAAAGCCCCCTTGTAGGGGAACAGGCCCGACATAAGCATAGTTCTCTCTCTCCTCGAAGAGAGAAGACATGAGCAGATCTGCCTTCAAAAAACCTTTCTTACAGAGTAGACCAGTCTTTCCTCCTTGCAGGTAGAGTGCGAATCCAGAGCCAATTTAGGCTCAAGCCTGATGAGCCGCTGATTGCGGCGAAAGCTAGCACCAGCCAAGAGAAGCAGCGAACCTGAAAAAAAGTGGAAGACCTGAGCACGCGATGGGAGCCCACCGATCGAACCGACCGAGCGGAGGAGGCGCCGAGCACGGCCAGGCGCGGGCGCGCGGCAGACGATCCCCCCCGGGGCGGCGCGGGCTCCGCGGCAGCGCGGCGCGCCCACCGCCGAGCCCAGCCGGCCGACGTCGAAGTCTGCTCGCGGCGCGCGCCCCTCGGGGTCCCGACCCCATTCCCAGGGGCATGGTTCTCCAGAGGAGGAGGAGGAGGAGGAGGAGGAGGAGGAGGAGGAGGAGGAGGAGGAGGAGGAGGACCTTCTCCAGAGGAGGAAACGAGGTGCCCATAGCCTCTGCCCTTCGCGGCCGTCTTTTCCCCTTCTGGGGGCCTCCTGCGCGCCCCTCGGGATCCCGACCCCGTTCCCAGGGGGCATGGTTCTCCAGAGGAGGAAAAAAGGCACCCACAACCTCTACCCTTCGCGGCCGTTGTTTCCCCTCTTGTGGGCCTGGTTCTCCAGAGGAGGAAAAAAAAGGTGCCCCTAACCTCTGCCCTTCGCGGCCGTCTTTTCCCCTTCTTGGGGGCCTCCTCGCGGGATCTCGTGGCCACCGCTGGATCCGCCTCGAAATCCTGGTCAGAACGCACCCCGGGAGTGGTCCGGGGAGCAGCGGTATCGGTATTTTTCTGGGTTTCCCCGAGTTCTTCTTCTCGCCCAGAGGCGCTCTCGGGCGGCCCCAGGGCACAGGAGGTGCCGCTCGGAGGGCCCAGATGCCCGAAGCAGTGCTCGCACTCGGGGGTATCCTGCTTCGGTTGCCAGGGGAAGTGGACGTGCCCGCCGAGATTATTTCGGCGGGTGCCCGCCCACGGCGCGCTTTTGGGGGTGCGCCGTGGGCGGCAGCACAGCTTGCACCACATGGATTGCGCCCCACCTCGTGGTTTGCACCACCCACGTAGTGTTGAGTCGGGACTGTTTCCCTACAGGGGCATTTCGACGAAAAATAAAAAATACCCCAAAAATAATCAACAAATAATGAAAAAATGGTCTGGGGACTATTTTGTGAGTATTTGTTTGACCTGTTGGGGGTATGTTTGTGGTATTTTTTATTTCTCGTCGACAATCACCCTGTAGGGGGACACGCCCGACATAACGTAGTGTTTAACACACGGCTTGCACCACGTATTTCATACCACCTAGCCTGCACCACACAGCCAGCACCACGTGTCTAGCACCCCCTAGGGTGCACCACGTAGCCTACACCACGTGGCTTGCACCACATCGGATGCAGTCAACCCGCATAGTAAGGATGAGCGACTTTCCAAGGTTACCCTTGCACCCTTGCCCCTCGACCCATCCTTGGCCATTTTTGCTGGCCGCACCCTGCTCGCGGAGTGTCTGCATTGCCTTCCAAGCACCTTGCATCCTCATCGCGCGGCCTTATTATACGGGTTGACTGTTCACCGCATGGCTTGCACCGCACAGCTTATTTCCACCGCGCACACACACACAGCAAACACATGGCGTGCAGTCAACCGGCATCGTAATTAAGGATGATCAACCTCTCCAAGGTTACCCTCGCAGCCTTCCCCTTCGGCCCATCCTTGGCCGCTTTCGCTGGCCGCGCCCCGCTCGCAGAGGGTCGACGTGGCCTTTTTGGAGCACCTTGCCCCCCCTTGCATCCAAGGCACCTTGCGGGTTTGGCTGTGCACCGCATGGCCTGCCCCGCGCAGTTTCACACCCACCACACCCTCACACACGCAGCAGCACACAGGGCGCATCCGAAGGCTCTCCGCCGGGATGCCCCTCGCGCGGCGCGCGCGGAGGCCCGCGCCCCCGCGCGCCGCGCCGCGCGGCAGCGGCGCTGGCCGGCCTTGGGGGGGGGCGCCCCCCGCAGGCCTGCCACTTCTGCCACGAGTGCCCGGAGGACTGCGGCCGCCCCCTGGCAGTGCCCCTCCTCCTCCTCCTCCTCCTCTTTCTCCTCCTCCTCCTCCTCCTCCTGCTCCTCCTCCTCGTCCTCGTCTTTCTCCTCCTCCTCCCTCCTCCTCCTCCCCCTCCTCCTCCTCGTCCTCCTCTTTCTCCTCCTCCTCCTCCTCCCTCCTCCTCCCTCCTCCTTCTCCCCCTCCTCCTCCTCTTCCTCCTCCTCCTTCTCCTCCTACGAGGCGCCCACGGGCGGGCAGAAGGCGACACCGCGGCACGCCCCCAGCGCGGTGCGCCCACGGGCGGGCACCCACGGCGAAACTTCGGCACATGCCCCCTCCAAGGGCTCAGAGCAGGAGCGGAAGACGGACGCACACGCACACGAAAAACCACGTCGGTTTCGAGAGTGCGCAGTGCGCGAGCGTTCGTGTCACGCGATTTGTGCCGCGGACTGGGGGGCCGTGTTCATGTACGTTGTTGGGCGCGTCCGTCATTTGTGGGCTCCGGATCAGAGGAGGAGAAGATACCCATGCCGCTACCCTCTCGTTTTCCCCCTGTTAGGCCTCCTGTGAGGCGCTCGTCGCCACCGCCGGATTCGCCTTGAAATTCTGCTTAGAACGCATCCCGGGAGAGGTCTGGGGAGTAGCGATGCCGGTGCCTTTTGGTTTCCCCGGGTGCGGGCAGCGGCGGCGAGGTCGACGGCGCCGTCGCCGCCGTTGACGACGCCGACGGGGACGACGACGAGGCCTTCTACGACGACGGCGCCTACGTCACCGGGCACACGTCGACTGGGGATCAGTGGCAGCGACAGGGGGGTGCTGGCTCAGGGCGGGAAGGCATCGACCCCCGATCGCCCATTCATCGCCAAGCGGGGCATCGGCCCCCCACCCAGCCCAGGAGCGTGCGGCTTCGCTTTCGGGGGCCTGTGGCTGATCTATCGGCGATGCCTTGCCGATTCCAGGCCATCGTCTCCCCCCACGAGTCAGCCCCCCCCTCCCCTGTCGACCCCCCTCGGGGGAGGTATGGGATGGGTCAGGAGACGACAACGACAGGGACGGAAGGATCGAGGCGAGAGGATCGAGGCTGGGTACTTTGAAACGGCTTTGGTCTTTTTGGGCCTGCTTCGTTGCCACGACTGGACCCGCTTCCAATTTCAACCATCAAGCGCCCTGGACTGGTCTGGTGCTCGATTTTGCCCCCCGACCCGAGGGTCGACAATACGGACAGGGGTCCTGATCGTAGCCATTTTGACTCAAGCGAGTGTTTCTCAACTTGCTTCAACAAGCATGCCACTCGTGGCGCGGAATCATAACATCGAATTGTCGCATGCTCATCCATGGATTGGCGAGGAAAATGCTGTGTGTAGGATCCGTACACCAGAAGATGCGCATTTTCGGATGCAAGGCCACTGTACGATTCGTTGTATTGCCAGCCTCCCAATTCGGATCCGTGTTTCGTGTTAAGCCCACGCCAGGCGTAGAGCTGTACAGAGCGCTTCCGCTTTCGACCCTGTGCCCGAAGCAGCGGGGAGAGGCATTGAGTGCTATCGCTCGCAATGTTGTGTCAGACATGCATACCGGCGAGGCATTCTGTGATGCTACCCGTGGCCGGCGAATTGATGGAGGCCTTCGTGGCGCTGGTCAAACAGAATATGATTGGCTTTGGGGCAAACATCGCGTGGAGTGTAAAAGCTCACAATTGCATTGGTGTCGTACCCGAAAGTTGTGGTACTGTCGCTTCTCTAATATAAAACTCGCTAGTGGCGACAGGAGACTTGCTGCGTTTGACGTGTTATTGCTTATCTTCTACACCCCGAGAGGTATTTATATTTACGAGCACGATCTATTTTTCGGTGTGACTTCTTCTGGCAAGGCGACGCCAGCCTCTGGACATTCAATTGCGCTTCTCGGGGGATCTGGTCAGGATTGGAGCGCTGCGCTCAGACGTATATTTGCTCGCCTTGATGAGCCGAGCAACGCGTGCAAGCGTATTGCAGAACTTTCATTGAAAGATGGTCGTGTGCAGTCAGCAGAAGCTCTCTATTCGAACACCATTTTGACGGACGCGTTCAACGGCGTGCCTCTATCAGACGTGAGCCCTACTTCCCGTGGAGTTTGTCTGCAAAATGTTGCTTGTCGAATCGATGGTTTGATACATCCAGATGCAATCATTGATGGGCCCAACATCGGTGAATGCACCACTGGGCAGAGGCGCAGTTCATGGACTGCGCCGTACGACTGGATCCGCGACGGGATACGAGTAGAGTGCAAGTCAAGCCAGCTGGCGTGGGAGAAAGGCTTCGCCCGATGGAGGGTGAATTTCAGATCCATCAAGTTGAGCAGTCGTGATTTTGACGAACTTGTTCTTGTCTTGTACACGCCAAGCGGTCTCTACGTATACAGCCACGATTCCACATTTAGTGTGTCAAGCACGGGCTCTCTTACTGTATCGCAGGGCCAGACTGTTGCAATTGCTGGAACGTGTAACGACGTCGACTGGCGCAGTGGGCTTGACACGATTTTGAAGAAACTGGACTCGTCCACGTGCCAGCGCCTCGCTTACATCTACTGGGACCAAGGGAGTGCCTGCGACGCGCTGTTACCATACGGCGCAGATGAGCAGTAAGTCGTTGCCTCGGTCTGCTGGGGCACCCGACCTCTGGCCACACCAAGCAACTGACAAGGAGTCCTGAGGGAAACGGGTCCTGGAGGCCTTGATCGCTTTCGGGCTCTCAGAGCATTCTTTAGGACCCAGGGTCCAGGACCCGTTTCCCTCAGAACCCGTTGCGTTCATGGCAACAGAAGGTCGGGAAGACAGCAGTCGGGCCGGAAATATGGACGACCTCTGACAGTAGCCCCATGTCCATGCCGAACAGGGTTCATTGCCTGAGTCGCCGCGAATTTCAACAGTGGCCGCCGTCGCTTTTGGGCAGCACTTACTGCTGGGCATCGTCCCAATTCTCATCCGTCCCTACATACGGCGTGCCGAGAGGAGTGATGGCGGGAGCGTGTTGCCTTCTCGACCCCCTCCCCGATGCGGGTGGACACGACAGTGGCATGACCTCTCCGCGGGGGGTGTTGCCTTCTCGAGCCCACTTCTGGGCGACAGTGCTGTTGACACGACCGTGGCATCGCGAGCGTGGGCGAAGCGGCACTGGAGGGGGGGCAGCCATCCGGCGGCTCGAAGAAAAAAATGAGACCACCGTCGTTTCTCTATTTTGAGCACCTGCAGGCCAGCTTTGAGCAGGCCTCAGGGCCATCAAGAAAAACAACAACTACCTACGTCTGATAAAAAAGCGGCCCAAGGGGAGGACGGGGAGGGAGAAGAAGAGGTGTCTACAAGGCTCGCCACATTGAGCATGCACAACGTGCGAGTCGAACACGTGGCGATATGCCTCTCTCGCGCAGAGGGGAGCTTGCTCCCGCGCCGTCCTACAAAGTTGAAGCATCGGCGTGAAGGTGCGCGGGGTGAGAAAGTGGACGATGGGGGTGGATTGGCGATGATCCTGTGGCTCTGTCAGACGTGTTTCGGCGCCTGGGACGGCTTAGTTAGAGCGTCACAAGCGGAATGGTGTGAGCCCCATCGATGAAGGAATGATCGCTTGAGTCAAAGAGTTAACCTTCGCAACCCCCCAACGCCAAATGGAAAGGTTCGCGTTCTTCATTCGATGAGCTAGTAGAGGCATTAAGAAGAAGGCTGGCTGCGCCAAAGCGAGACGGCGAACTCGAACAAGAGCCACGCTCCATTAACGTAACATTTTTGGTAGCCAACCTTCAAGGAGTCGAAGATGATGCCTCGATGCTGAATTTAAGCCACCTTCAACCAGGCCGGCTACTGGAGAAATGCATTGTTTTGGTTATCAAATTTCAGGATGTCTCAGCTAATAGCTAGGTGTTGAAGACTGGCCACGCACCATCCGCGCAAATGTTGGATCCACATACTTCGATTCAGAAGTTCCAAGATGTGGTGTGGTGAGACCCACGTGCTCTAACTTAGTCATGCATCCGCGTAGTTCCTGGGAGGTGGAAATTGAACTTGGGGAGGCCCCACGCGAGGTACAGGACTTGAGAACCACCCACCCTCCATCCATGGAGTTGCTGGGCATTTCAGGAAGACGACCTTGCGCGATCGGATAGCCGCGATCGTCCGAGGTTGCACGATCCTCACGGTCAGAGACCACCGTGCAAGTTATCGCGGCACGAGTCCGCCGTGCCTTTTTGCCTCCTCTGATGTTGCCGATTCTCCTCGTCTTACCCCTTTGATGATGAGGGCGAGAACCGTGTCCTGGCGGTCGGACGGACGGCACAGGGGGGTCAATAGCTGCGAGGGGGCGGGGATCGAGGATCGCAGGACAGTGGCCCTACAGGAACCCTGAATGGCCCCCAAAGCTGCCACCGCGGGCCTGAGAGGCCCACGACAGGTGCCAATCTGCCTTCACCCTACGGTTCTTGCCCCCCCCCCCCCCGACCCCACGTTTCTTGCCCCCCCCGTTAGAACGAACACCCGTGGCCGTGCCCCGCTCGTGCTGCTTACTCACGCGTGTGCTCACCCTCTCCTTCCTCGCACCCCGCCTCTCCAGATCAGGGCCGTTTCCCCCCCTCCCCCCCCGCGGCGCTGGCCAGAGGAGCAGTGTTATGTTTTCTTTGCTTCCCCGCGAGGCGAGCGAGCCCCGATGCCCTCCCAGCCACGGGCGTGGATGAAAAATGCCCCCCACAGAGGCGTCCTGCATCCGGCTGCACCCTGCCTCGTCGGAGGCGGGCCGATGTGGCAGCCGGCGTCCTCCTCCGCTCCGTGCATCGGGCGTTTCGTAACGGGTGGGGCCATAGATTGGGGTGGGGGCGCCCTGAGGGTTGCAGGGGGGGAGGTTGTGCAAACTTCAGGAGGGGAAACAACACACAGACACAATTAACCGTCGATTCCCAAGAAAATATTGGAAAGTATGGGAATTGGGCGGGAAGGCAAAAACCCAGAAAATATAAGAAAATATAGGGAATCTTTTTATTTGTGTGTATTTATTTGTGTGTCCCAGGGCCCCTTCAAAACTGTGTTTTTGTTCATCCCATGTCTACTGCCCCCTGCTAAGCATTGTCGGACCTGCCCTCGCCCAGAGCGGCTCTGGACCCCGCGCGCCCGGCCCCCCCCCCATCGCCCCCTCCCAGGGCGAGATCAGGCTGCGGAAGGCCCGTTCGCCCCGCCCAGCCGCACTCCGCTGCCAGGGAGCCCGCGCGTGCGGTCCACAGCTCTCCAGAGGCGAAGGGCACAGGTAGGCGAGACCGCCATCCTCCTTCCTCCCTCTCTCTCCTCCTCCTCATCCCCCTTCTCCTCCTTTAACTCGCTTCCTTGCAAGCACCTCCCCGCTGTCGCACCACGAGACTGGTCGCTAGGGCGGGCCGGGCGTGTAGACCAGGAGGTCCCCACCACTCATGGCCCTGAAACTTGAAATTGGCATCGGTTTTCAGGGATGGGGGGCGGGTCGTTTTCAACATGCGGTTCTCGCCGAATTTCCACGCACATTCGTTGTCAACATTTGCAAGGGCTTCACGGATGGAGCGCGGCTCCTTTTCCAAGGTTGAGTCTCGCCTCAGCGCCGCGCGCATTCGTCTTAAAGAATATAGAACGCAAGCGTTTCTCGCATGGAGGGCAGGCCGTTTTCAAAATGTGGCCCTCGCCGGAGCGCCGCGTACATTCGTTTTTTTATATGATTATTGTTTTTTGTTTAAAACAAGTTTGCAAGCAAGGGCTTCACGCATGGCGCGCGGCGTCTTGTCAAAGCTGTGGCCGTAGCGCCGCGCACACATCTGTTGAAACAAACGTTTGCAAGAGAGCTTCACGGGGTGGATTGCGGCTCATCCTCTCCTCCTCCTCCTCCTCCTCCTCCTCCTGATCTCGTTTCAGCGCCGCGCGAGGTCGTCTGAACAGTTCGCAGCAGAATTTCCACGGATTCTTCTGGCAGATGTCCCAGGAATGGGGTTCCGCACGAGTTCGGATTGTCAGGGCGCGACAGTCACGTGGACTCGCGGTGCTGGCGTCCCAGAAGTGGTGTCCTGGCAACGATTCCGGATCGCTAGGCCGCAAGAGTAGCGTTGATGCGCGCCGTTGAATCTTCTGGCACGGTTGAAGATTCTAATACGATTGTCTTCCAACAGGGCTAATCCCGCAGTGGAATAACTCTCTGTGGGGTATGACGAGGTAATTTGGAGGGAGGATTCACTGTAGCATCTAAGGATGTTTCTTGAGGGAGTCTATGAGTCCGAGGGACCTCTCGGTGGTTCGAATTCTGGTCACAACGCAAACCGGGAGAGGTCCGTGGCGGCATCGGTGCATGTATGTTCCCCATAGTTTGGTAGTTTTCGCCTAGAGGTCGGGGGAACGCGGCAGCTGTCCACTGACGCCGAATCCTGGCCACGGGCATTTCTGGCCCTGTGTCTGCAGGGGTCGTATAGCCAGAATGTGTGCTGGAAGAGAGTTTGCATCAGGCCAAGAAGGGGGGGATACGTACCCTCCTTCCCCGCTCCTAGGATGACTCTAACTACTGTCTCGTCCTCCTCCGGATCCTCATCCTCATCTTCCACGGAGGGGGAGGATGGACGGGATGGGAAGGACGGGTGGACGGATGGAAAGGATCCAGGGAGTTGGGGGAGGGGACAGCGGTGGGGAGGGGGAGAAGGCGAAGGGTGGGGAAGAAGAGGGGAGGGTTGAGGGGAGGGCGCTGCAAGATGGGAAGGGGCGGACGGGAGGAGGACGGGACGGGGGAAATAGGATGAGGCGAGGGAGGGAGTTGTTGTTGTTGCTCGTCCTCCTCATCCTTTTCCTCGTCCTCCCCCCTCTAGATGACACGTCGTCCGCTCACCTGCAGCCGTTTAGGCTGGAGTTCGCAGGCGCGCATTTGGCCCCCGCGTGTGCGGCTGCCTGGGGCGCCACGCGGCGGACAGACGCGGATGTGCTCTTAGGCTCGGGGCCGTCGGGGGGGGGACGGGGCGCGGCGGAGGGAGGGAGCGCAGATGAGGCCGAATTGAAGGGGAAGTGGCAGAGGAGAGACAGTCAGAGAGAGCGAGGATACATGTATATACACGTATACACATACACGTGTGTGTATATTAAAGTAAGTACTCGATGCACATACAAATATTGACACACGCATCTCTCCGAGGGAGTAGAGATCAGAATTATGGAAGTCGTCGTTTCGTTCACGATTGTGCCTGGCTGGTTCGCCTTGGCCAGCTTCAGCATTCTGCACGCTGGAAGTCAGGGTCAAAACCACAAAAAATGTTTAGCATTTGAACTGAAATTCAATGGGAAGCGCAATAACACAATTGGTTTTGCTACGGTGTCCTGTGTAGTGTAGTCCGAGCATTGCATAAGTGAGCCTTCAAAGACACAGTGGAACACAGTAATCTTGAAACAAGTAACATAACATCCTTGGTTGTCCTGGGTGCCCAGTGTAATTATCAGCACTTGTTCTATCACGTGTTTTCCATGCCCAAAAGGGTGGGTACTTCTCAACATGTTGTCCAAGCTCAAGCTGTGCCAACCCCATCGGTTGCCTCCCCGTTCCTTCTTTTATGAGCCTTGGCACGCTCGTGCCGCTTGTCTATCTATTTATCTATCTATGTGTATATATGTATATACATATGTGTATTCAAGTGGCTTGTGTCATTCCGCCGGCCCCCAGAAGGAGTCAGATATTTGCGACGATCTTGCAAGTTCTCTAGCGGCCTTCGGCCCAAGCCGCCACCGTGCCTGGGCTGGGAGGCTTTTGAGGCCTCTCGGGGGCCTCTCGGGGGCTTCCTGGGGGGGCGTCTTGAAGGCCTCTTGGGGCATCTTGAGGGCGCCTCGGGGGCCTCTGGGAGGCTCTTGGGGTCATGGTGGGTAGGTGGGTCGGTGGGTCGGTATGCAGGCAGGTGGGCGGGCGGGCGGGCGGGCGGGCGAGCGGGCGGGCGGGCAGGCAGGCAGGCAGGCAGGCAGGCAGGCGGAGGAGGAGGAGGAGGAGGAGGAGGAGAGGAGGAGGAGGATGGTAGGAGGAGGAGGAGGAACAGGGGGAAGAGGAGGAGGAGGAGGAGGAGCAGGAGGAAGAGGAGGAGGAGCAGGGGGAAGAGGAGGAGGAGAAGGAACGGGAGAAGGATGCAGAAGATGCGGAGGAGGGTGGACGAGGGGAAGGGAGGGGGGAGGGAGGGACGGAGGAGTGGGGAGGGACAAGCTAGGTGCGCTCGCGTCATATCTGACGTCCTATCCCTCCCTCCCTCCCTCCCTCCCATCCGTTACCATGGCGTAGATATCCTCTCTTTTCGCACAGTCGGATGTGGATCAAGGCAATGATCGCGAGAGGGTACGCGATGCTCGGTAGAGCTCCGCATGGCATGGCGTAGAAGAGCACGGCAGAGCGTAGCATGCCATAGCATGGCGTGGCATTGCGCAGTGAAGCATTGGGTCACAAAGCATTTCAACGCAAAGCATGGCATCGCACAGCGGGGCAAAACACAACGCCGCACAGCATGTCATGGCACCGCGCCGGGTTCCTTGGAGGGTACGTGGGTCGTCTTCGAGAGGCCTGGGCCAGTCTGGAGTCGTGGCTCCATGTCTAGCTCCTTGGGCTCCCCGCAAAGCTCAACACAAGGCGGGGGTGATGGGGAGCACCCACTGGCTCTGCTGTCAACCTCGCCTTCTCAAAGCAGAAACTGGGCTCCCGCTTGATACTTCCTGAGAGCGACGACGCCCCAAAGGGGGAGGGAGGCTCCTGCGTCCCAAAAAATCAATGAATCGGCACCGAATGTGTAATCATATCCAATGTTTTTTTGTCGGGGGGGCATTGTCTAGGTTGTGGAGCCTATTTGAAGGACCGCAAACGCCCGCGCTGCAGCGGGAGCACGATTTGGAACAACCAGAGGCGCAGAAATGCAGGCGGCGCTTCAGCGGGACCAACATGTTGAAACAAACCCAAGCGCAAACCCATTTCCCGTGAATCTTGTGTGTAAAAACAGCCATACGCGGAGGGGGGCCGGAAATCTTCTGGACGTCATCAAGGGAGAGAGGAGAGTCGCATTCATATTGTGTAAATTGTGGATGGGGGAGGAGAGAGGGGGAGGGGCGACGAGGATGGCGACGACGACGACGCCATCCTCCCTGGGGCGGGGCGACTCCGCCGCACGCTTCGGAGGCGGAGGGGCGCCGCGGCGCAGCGGCCGCAGCGCAGTGCCTCGGTCGAGGTCGCCCCCCGCGATGCCTGGCGATGCCGCCGAGGGCCCACCGCAGCGCGTGTGGCTCGTGAGGCGGACGGCGCTCCCGTCCTTCTCTTACTCCGCTCTCCGCCTCCGCCTTCTCCTCCTCCTCCTCCTCCTCCTCCTCCTCCCCCTCCTCCTCCTCCTCCTCCTCCTCCTCCTCCTTCTTTTCCTCCTCCTCCTCCTCCCCCTCCTCCTCCTGCCCAGTGCACCACGGGGCTCTGAGGTGCATCTGCACTTTTGCCGCCCAGTGGCGCCGACCTTCCGACCTCCGGAGCGGTGGCCGGGGCGTCGTCGGAGAGCGCGCCGGCCCTCCGCCGCCCGTGCAGCACCGGCGGGTGCCTGGTGGCCCGGCGGGAGGGTGCGGCTGCGGCGCACGTGGGCCTCGTTGCGGGTCGCCATGCTGCTGGCCGCTGGAAAGACAAACCAGCAGCAGCTGGAAAGACAAACCAGGGACAATTCAAAGACAAGAGGCGCCCAGCGGCCAGCAGCTGGAGAGACCATACAAAAAGGCGAAGACAGCACGAGAGGCGCCCAGCGGCCAGCAGCTCGTGTGCCGATCTGCCATGCGATGCGTCGCCGGTGTCGGGTCGCTGCTCCCCCCCCCCCGTGAGCCAGTCCGCCTCCAGCGGTGCCCCGTTCGCTGGTTCCGGCGATGTGCTACCCCTCCCGTTCGCTGGTGCAGGCGATGTGCTACCTCAATCCATTCGAATCATCCGGGTGTGAATGCAGAGCTCCTGGCCAACGGAGGGGGCCCTGCGTGTGTCGCCTGCAGGACTGGCCAGCCACCATGCAGCTTTGCGGCATGGTGGTCCGGCCTGTTTCCCCGAGCAGCGTGCTGGCAAGGGTTCTAGTATTGCTTCTGAGGCACGCGGGGGCTCCTCGGGATTCTCGGAGATGGTGGTTCGGTCTCCCGTATGGTCTCCCGTGTTGTCTGCCGTATGGTATGCCGTATGGTATGCCGCGTGGTGTCCAGTATGGTCTCTTGTTCGGAAGCTGGGCGAGGGCTGCTAAAGCCGTGGCTGCTAAAACGGCCCTCCCGGAAGGAAGAAACAACTTCCAGGAATGAGGCGCGGCACGCGAAACAGTCAACGGGCTTCTTCCTGGAAGGACGAAGATTTTTTCCAGGAGGTCGATTTTAGCAGCCACGGATTTAGCAGCCCTTGCCCGGCTTCCGAGTCTCTTGTGTGGTTTCCCGCATAATCTTCCGTGTGTACAGTGCAGTGGATCGCTATCATTATCATCAAAGTGTATTGTTTATGGTATTATGCTAAGAGTTGCCGCCAGGGCCCATTTGGTCAGGTGTACCTGCGCAGGCAGATAGCAGTGATTACCATCGCACTCTATCACCAAGTCGTTCGTTCCAACGACCCACCCGACACCCCTGGCTGTAGCGGTGACCATGTCTACGCCATAATAAATTGCATCCCGACGGTCGTTTTTTTGGGCGGTTGAAGTGCACACCTCTCATAGGGGGTGAGGAGGGATGATGCGGAAGAGGGGGAGGAGGAGGAGGAAGAGCAGGGAGTATTGAGGAGGAGGAGGAGGAGGAGGAGGAGGAGGAAGAGCAGGGAGCATTAGCAGGGAGTATTGAGGAGGAGGAGGAGGAGGAAGAGCAGGGAGTATTGAGGAGGAGGAGGAGGAAGAGCAGGGAGTATTAGCAGGGGGAGGGCGGCGACGACGGAGGAGGAGGAGGTGGTGGATAGCGGTGAGGAAGGAGCAGGAAAGGCAAGAGGAGAACGCTTAGCATCAGTTCCTGCCGCGTGCGTCTTGTTGGACAGATCCTGCAAGGCCTCTCCAGCAGGAGGGAGATGTCACCACGGTTGGACGCGGCATGATCACACTGTGTCAGAATGTGATTTAAGCGAGATTGGGCGGAATGTGCTCGGGAATGTGTTGGTATGAGGTGCCATGCCCGGCTCTCTTGTGTGTTGTAGCGTTAGTTTTCCAGATGGTTGTGTTTGATGCAAGTCTTCGCATCATTCGGACAATTGTGCCTGCGCTTCGGAGGAACTACTTTCGGCTCTGAATTGGTACGCTTCTGCCGTGGGGGGCGTAAGCTACTCGGAGCGATTGTCGCTCTCGCAGGAGGCCATGGATGCCAGCGGGGCGAGACAGACGGCAGCGGGAAAGGACAGACCGACGTGCGAGTGCTTTACAGGGCAGGAAAAAGGGGCAGACTCCGCAGAGAATACGGCCATTGTGGTTCGCCCCTTGGCACGAGCGGACACGGCTGCGGTGGGCCTGGTGTGGCACGAGTCTTATGCGAAGAGTCACGGCCCTTTGGTGCCAGCGAAGTTGATGGAATTTCGAACACAAAAGTCTTTCACGCTGCGCCTGGAGAAAATGGTGGCGTCTATCCCTGGGGGTACCTCCATCACTGACCGCGCTCCTTCCGATGCCACGACAAGTATGGAAGGAGTTGGAGTTGACTATGCGTTGCTAGCGGAGGACGTTGTCACTGGGGCTATCGCGGGTTTTATCTCCATCCGTCCCCAGGATCGAGAGGTTTACCAGGTTTTCGTCTCAGAGTGTTTCCACGGTACGGGTGTAGCACAGATCTTGATGCAGCAGGCGGAAGCAGCCATGATTCGTCTTTGGAGGAAGTTCAGCCGTTGCGGGCACGTTCCTTTCGACATGTTCCCACATGGCATTCTTGTTGGCAAGCCAGGTTGCGGGCATACTCATATGAACAACGATTGCAATGATGCGGATCCGGTGGCGCTACCTTCGTGCACGTCGCATGACCAACCGCCAGATGCAGACGATGCTATACGCTTGTTGCCGTTCCGTGCTCACCTCCATGTTGTCGTCGGCAATGACCGCGCCCGCCGATTTTACGAGAAAATGGGCTGGAGTTATGTTCAGGATGAAATTTTGCAAGCCGAGTGCGTCAACGAGGAAACAGGAGAGCCATTGGACAGTTTCCCCTTAGATGTCTGGAGAATGGAGAAATTATTGGGGGAGCCAGTACTTCAGTGAAAGAACGGGTCACGTTCAGAACCACGCTTAAGAACGGACAAAGGCACATTCAATGACCCTACGGCTTGGACGGAAAATCCCTTCGGTGACCCTCGGTGACCCTGTGAGACTACATGGCTCGTTTTGAAATTGCCCATCTATGTGACGATCGACAGATTAGTAGTGAGCATGCTTTCTGTGGATACGCATGGTTGACATTGCGAGCATCGTATATTTCATAAAGTCGGGGGCCGTTTGGCATTACACTTGTTCGCAGGTTTCGCACTTCAAGAGTTGAAATGTTTTGCCGCAAGGGAGCGGGCGCGAGAAATCTGATGCAGCGTTTAACGTCATTCCAGTTAATTGCAAGTGCGCGTCAACATCTCAAAGTATCCCCTGCGCGCTGGCTAAATATTTGGCTTGACAACCGCGTGTTAATGTTGGGCGCAACTTGTGCGCAGTCTGCCATCGACATGTCCATGGTTATCTTAGCGATGGCAAGGTTTGTATTGCGGTCTCTAGAGATGCCTGCAAGAGGAGATTGAGCATCATTGATGCAAATCCACGTGTACAGCCCATTATTCAATTCACCTGCTCAACGAAGTGTTGAAGGAAAGTCGACTTAATCAACCTGACATCCGTATCTCACAGTTCTCGTTTACATGCCTGCACATACACTGACGTGTGGCTACCTTTTCCGCATTTTGCCCATATGGTGCTACACCGATTTTCGCCGTTGTCAATTGACGTGTGTTGTGCCCTTCCCTCTCTTGATTCCTCCTGTCCTTATTCCTTGTTTGTGTGGGCCATGCCATTAGTATTGCTCTCAACCTTAATGTGTTGGGTTCTTGCTTTGAACTGAGCATGGTTGCCTCTTCTTCATGCCTCCCGCATCCCTGCTGTTCCCGTTTCCTTGTTCCTACACCCTAGTTGTTTCTTGCTTTTTTTATGCGCCTCCTACCTTGCCTCCAACCTCGTCTCCTTGGTGGCTGCCAACTGCCCAAATGTTGCCGCTTTCGTTGGCCACTGAGAGGTCTAACTGAGTGGCGCCGTACTTAAAACATGTTGGGATCTCACCGCACCTGGGTACGGCCAACTGCGCAACTGTTGCCGCGTTCGTGCGACCCTGGGAGGCCCAGCGGAGTAGTGCCTTGCAGATCAGAATTGGATGTTGCCTTCAACAGTTGTGGCCAAGTGCGCAGCTGTCGTCCCGTCCGGCCCCCCTTGCGAGGTCCAGTGTCTCAAGTGCATCAGCGCATGATACCTCGCTTTCCATGGGTAATGCCTACTGCGCAACTGTCGCCGCTTTCCTGGACTCCTGGGAGGTCGGCGGCGGAGTTGCGTCCGTGCTCATCGGAATGACACCTCGCCCTCGCTGGGGCCTGCCAGGTGCGCCACCGTCGTCATTTTCATGTGCCCCTGGAAGGTCAATGCGGAGTGGCGTCATCCTACGAAGAGCAGAGCGAAACCTCGCCCTCCGCGTGTGCTGCCAACTGCGCAGCTGTCGTCACTCTCGTGCATGGTACCTCGCCCTCCCTGGGCGGCCAGCCCCCATGGGCGCTGCCACTGCGCAGCTGCCGCCGCTTCCGTGGGCCCCGCGGGAGGACCAGCGGAGTGTTGTCCTGAATAGGTCCGAACTGATGATCGTTTTCTTGTTTGTTGTTTTGCCGATCGGCGCGGGCCCTCGCACCCCCCCCTCCCCCCTCCCCTCTGCATCCCCCCCCCTGGAGAAGATCTTGGCTGTCTTGGGCTCCTGTTTCAAGCAGGCGGAGTCTCCCCAATAGGACACACTGTTGCGAATAGTCGCACTCAGAAGAGGTCTGGAGCCAGACCCCTCTCCTTCCGCCCAATGTCGAAACGCCGAATAAGAAAACGCCCACCTAGACCTCGCCCTCCCTGGGTGCTGCAAACTGCGCCACTTCCTCTTCCTTTCGACTGCTGACCTTCGGTCTGTCTGTTGCTCTCAGCTGACCTCACTGGATCTGTTCCCCCCTCACTCCTCACTGCTGCCAGCCTCGTACATCCCCCCTACCTTATTCCAGATCCTCTTCCCTCTTCCTCCCTTCTCCCCATCTGTACCTACGCCCTCCCGCATCCTCTCTCTCATCTCTTGGTCATCGTCATCATTCCGTCTCAGAAAGAGAAAGAGCGTCTTTACACTAAAAGGTCAGGGGGGATGTGACCCAAAGTCCCAGGGGGGGTCGTGACAGAACCCATCCTTTTCCCTCCCCGCCTCCAAAGTGGAAGTCGGGGGGAAGATCTGACCCCCCCCTTACGCGCCGGCAAGCGACGACGACGAGGATGAAAACGACGACGAGGACGACGGCGACGACGACGTGTCCCGCTCGCCCGAACGACCGACTCGCCCACGACGACGCCGTGTCCTGCCTGCCCGACCGACTGACCCGCCTGACTGACGGCGACGACGACGGCGCCGATTGCGATGGTCATGGCGACGGTGACCGACGACGACTTGCCCAGCCCGACCGACGGACTCGCCGACGACGGCGACGGCGACGGCGATTGCGTCGTCGTCGTCGTCGTCGACGTCTCAGTGTGCCAGTGGCGAAGGGGGGCGTGGGGGGAGGTTGTGGGGGAACTTCTCGCTGGGGAAGGGGGGGCCAGTTCCAGAGGTGTGTGGGAGGGGCTTTGGCAACAAACCAGCGCGTACAGAAGTCGTTATGTCGCTTCCGGAGGCACGGTCTTTCTATTCAAATTTGGCCAGTAATGTCGCACAACGCGTGAGACCCCGCGCAGGTTTCACAACCAAGACGCGTTCCTTGTCATGGCACAGTCTGTACAACATGGGCCCACTGCTAGTCACTTGCTGCAGATGGGCTGTTTACGCCGCCTGGCTCTTTCCCCAAACAGCTTGCTGAACGGTGTGCTGTTGTGATAGAAGCTAACTCTGGCCGAGGGAACTCGAAGCAGATATGTCCTCAAAAACATGTGGTGGTCCGGGCCGTTTCGCCTGAGACATCCTGGCAAATCTCGTTTCTGAGTTGTCCGGGATTGGGCGTTTCGCGTGAGACATTCTCCAAATTCTGAGGTCACAGATGCCGCACAAGACGTGGTCCGGCCCGTTTCGCCTGAGACATCTTCGAAACTCTGAGCTCCGAGATGCCGCGCGAGAGGTGGTCAGGCCCGTTTCGCCTGAGACATCCTCCAAACTCTGAGCTCTGAGATGCCGTGCGCGAGGTGGTCCGGCTGAGGCATCCTCGCAACTCTGACCTCGGAGATGCCGCGCGCGACGTGGTCCAGCCTGTTTCGCATGAGACATTCTCGCAACTCTGAGCTCTGAGATGCCCTGCGCGAGGTGGTCCGGCCCGTCTCGCCGGAGACATCCTCGCAACTCTGGGGTCTGAGATGCCGTGCGCAAGGCGGTCCTGCCTGTTTCGTATGAGACATTTTTGCAACTCTGAGCTCCCGGGTGCCGCGCAAGAGGTGCTCCAGCCTGGGGGCCCAGAAGACCACATGTTACATATCCACCCTGGGACCATGGGAGCCCCAGGAGGCCCTAGAGAGCTTCATGAGGCCGCAGGACGCCCAGGACAGGCCCCAGGGGTCCCCAGGAGATTCCCAGGAGGCTCCCACGAGGCCCCAGGAGGCCCCCTAACAGAACGTGTTATGATTCTTCCTGCTCTTGTGGCCCCCCCCCCCATATTTGGGGGGGGCCCAGACGGCCACATGGTAGATATCCCCCTCTGGGAGCCCCAAGAGGCTTCAGGAAGCCCCAGGTGGGGTCCTGGAGGCCACAAGAGGCCCATTTCGCCTGTAACTTCCTCGCAGCACGTTTCGCCCGAGACATCGTCGCAACTCTGGGGTCCGAGATGCCGCGCGCGAGGTGGCCCAGCCCGTTGTGCTGGAGACATTGTCGCAATTCTGGGCTCCGAGATGCCGTTCGGGATGAAGAGGAGGTGGAGGAGGAGAGGGAGGAGGAGGAGAAGAAGGAGGAGGAGATGGAAGGGAAAAGTAGAAGGATGATGTGGATGAGGGAGCAGGCAGGAGGAGGGGGAGGAGGAGGAGGAGGGAGAAGGAAGGGAGATACAGGAGAGGACCTAACGGGAAGCGATTGTGACGTGGACTTGTCAGAACGTGTGCGAGAGGTTGCGAGCATAATGCTATCATGTTCTAACACGCCATGCCAGCCCGCACTGGACGGGCACGCAATCGACCTCGGAAACCGCAGTGGGTAAAAAAACTATGTTTGGGGATACTGTACTCATGCTATAAGTGTTTCTTCGTCTTGTCGTTGAAAGTCGTACTTGGCTACATCAACATGTAACCACTTGCATTGTCTGCGTTTGTTTGCGAGCCATAGTGGACATGGGGTGGCCCCTTGCCATGTACTGGCATGCCGTTCCCCAAAAGACTGCGTGGACACAGGAAACTTGCGTAGGCTATGGTACTGCAGTTTCTTCTACGTTCTGCGGCGTGTATCAGTCTTATGGTCTGGTGGGGTGTGAGACAGAAGTGACACGGAAGCCCCCAAGCTGGAAATGGGTTTCGGTTTCGATTCGTGTCGTGCGTAACGCGCGTGCAGGCGAGGCAAAGCAGCGCGAGATCGTCCGTTAGCCAGGCTCAGGTGACGCCAACACGAGTCGCGGACTTCTGGGGCTTGCCCTGAGTTGTCCCGCGGTTGTCCCGTGGTTCTCTCGGGGTGTCCCATGGCGCTCCCAGGGTTGTCCCGCGGTTGTCTCTTGGTTGTTCCTTGTTTTGTTGTCCAGTGGTTGTCCCGTGGTTGAACCGCGGTTATCCCGTGTTTGTTCTACGGCTGTCCAGTGTTTGTCCTGTGATGGCCCGATGGTTTTCCCGTCGTTCCAGTGGTTGTCCCGTGGTTGTCCCGTGGCTGTTGGTGCTCTGCGGCTGCTGAGACCGCTCAGTAGTGAGATCATCGTGACCGTGGCCCTGTCCAGGCACGGTGGTTCTGTACAGCTGTCTTCTGCGTCTCCCGCTGCGCTGCGGCCTGCTGTTGTTGCGCCGCCGCACTGTTCTCGCCGCTGGAGGATACTCCGGGTACGCTGGACTTCGGTAGAGCCGATGCTGGGCCCAGGATCGCTACGTGCGCCCCTCCTGGCCCCTGGCCCGGGCAGGAAGGTCTGCAGCCAAGACGCCGAAGCAAGGACCAGCTCGGGCTCTGGAGGGGGTCCTTTTTTTCTGATTCATTGTTTCGCCGATCGGCGCGGGCCCTCGCACCCCCCACTCCCCCCCGTGGAGTAGACCTTGACTGTTTTTGGCGCCTGTGTCGAGCAGGCGGAGCTTCCCCCACCGGACGCACTGCTGCAAGCAGTTGCGCTAAGCAGAGGTCCGGAGCCAGACCCCCCCCCTTCCGCCCAATGTCGAAACGCCGAATGAGACAACGCTCACCCAGACCTCGCCCTCCCTGGGTGCTGCAAACTGCGCCACTTCCTCTGCCTTCCGACTGCTGACCTTCGGTCTGTCTGATGCTCTCAGCTGACCTCACTGGATCTGTTCCCCCTTCACTCCTCACTGCTGCCAGCCTCGTACATCCCCCCCTACCTTATTCCAGGTCCTCTTCCCTCCTCCTCCCTTCTCCCATCTGTACCTACGCCCTTCCGCGTCCTCCCTCTCTCTTGGTCATCGTCCTCATTCCGTCTCAGAAAGAGGAAGAGCGTCTTCCCTCCACTCCCCCCTCCACTCCTCACTGGCCCCCCTTCACTCCTCACTGATCCCCCTCCGCCCTCCCCCCCTCGTCCCTCGCTCGGCGCGCCTCGTGGCAGCACGACGGCTGCACATGCGCGGGTCCCAGGCCCAGGATCGGCCTGGCCCTGGCCGGTGCAGGTGCATCAGCGGGCCCCCTTCCGACCCGTCGACGGCCTCCAAGTGCAGACTCTGGTGAGGTCGGGCCCATCCCTCCTCTTCCCTCCTCTCCTCCCGCCGCCCTCCTCCTCTCGCCTCCTCCCTCCTCTCCCCCTCCTCCTCCTCCTCCCCTCCTCCTCCTCCTCTCCTCCCTCCTCCTCCTCCTCTCCTCCTCCTCCTCCTCCTCCTCCTCCTTTACCTCCTCCTCCTCCTCCTCCTCCTCCTCCCCCTCTTCCTTCCGCCTCGCTCCCCGACGAAGAGGGCTACGCCGCTCGCCGACGTCGGCGCTCAGCGACGAAAACGAGGACGGGGAAGACGAGGACGCTCGCGAACGAGGAGGAGGACGACGACGACGAGGCCCAGGATGGATCGGCCCAGGCTGGGTCGGTGTGCGGGGTGTCAGCTGGAGCCGGCGCAGCCATCCGCTGCCCCCCGCGCCTCCGCCCGGCGAGGCACGGCGAAGGCACGCACAACGCCACGGGCCGCGGCGGCGTGCTGGACCCGCCGTTGACCCCGGCGGGCGAGGAGCAGGTCCTCGCCGTCACCGTCGTCGGCCTCGTTGGCGTCGGCGTCGGCGTCGGCGTCGGCGTTGGCGTCGGCGGCTTCGGCGTCGGCGTCGGCGCCGCGTCGGCGTCGTCGTCGTCGTCGTCGGCGTCGTTGTGGGCGGCGTCGTCGTCGTCGTCGTCGCCACCGCCGCCGCCGCCGCCGCCGTCATCGTCGCCGTCGCCGTCGCCGTCGTCGTCGTCGTCGTCGTCGTCGTCGTCGTCGTCGTCGGGTCTCGGCAGCAGTCTTATGGTCAGGAACTCTGACTCATCGTGTTTTTCGCCAGTTCTGGCCCCCCACGCTTCGGCGCGACGCGCTGTACCGTCGGACCGAGGTACAAGATCGAGTGCGGTTCGGGGAGGGTGCCCTTGTGTTCTTCGCGCTGGTTGGATGCTCCCGTGTATCCTGGGGAGGGTACCCTTGGGTGTTCTGCTTGTTTTGGCCGACGGAGGGTCTCATGTTCTTGAGGGGCGTTCTTCTGTCCCAGGTCCGACTGTATCCGCGCCTCCAGTCCCGAACAGCAACCTCCCGAGCTTGTCTAAGCTCCCCGCCCTGCGGAGAGGGGTAACACGCCATCCGCCTGCAGGGCACAGCGTGCCGCCAGAGCCTCCGCCGCGACAGGCCATCCGAGCGTTCCTGACAGTCGACGTTCCTGAGGACCTTCCTGGGTTCGGGCGGGGGCCTTCCTGGGGGCCACCTGACGGATCTGTTCGAATCTCGCTTGATCCTTTCAGGGGCAACCCTGGTGGGCGGCCAGCCTGGGGAGGAAGTGAGAGGAAGACCTCCGGCCCTCGGGGAAGTGGTCCAGGCTCTCCCCGAAGACACAGAAAATCTTCTCGGAAGGCCGGAGGGTTTCTGAGAAGTCCCGCCGCTGTCTGAGAAGGCTTTCTTCTCCTCGTTTTCCCCCCTCGCTCGCCGCCAACTGGAGTGCCTGGATCGTCCCGAGCGGCCGCCGCAGGCACCAGTCAGGGCTTGACAGCCGAGGGGCAGCGGTGGGGGGGGCTCTGCCCAGGCAGGGCAGAGGGACGCATCGACCCCCCCAAGCGCCCGTTCATCGCCGAAAGGGGCTCGACGGTGAGGAAACCAAAAGGTTCAAGCAGTGGCGAGGCGTCCTGGCGTGACTAGAGGCCTACCAAACAATGTTCTAAGAACCTTTTGTGGCTTCCACGACATGTTTTTAGAACATGTCTAGCTGAGACTGTCTTGTTTTAACACATCGGTGCACGTTCTGAGAACATTGTCCTTGTTCTCAGGACATTGGGGGTTCTAAGGACATTTCGTTGTAGGCCTATAGGAATGTCGGGATGGTCGGTCCCTGCTCAAAAGGCACTGATACCGCTACTCCACGGATTTCTCCCAGGGTGCGTTCTGACAACAAAAATGTCGAGGCGAATACAGCGGTGGCAACGAGGACCTCCCAGGAAGGCGAAGGAGGGGGATCGGGCGAAGGGTAGCGGTATGGGTACCTTCTCTTTCCCTCCTCCCAGATAGCCCGCCCAGCCAGTACCGTTCGAATGTGTTATCGAGAGCCTCTCGCCGAACTGGCGATGCGTGGCCGATTTCAGGTCGACGTCTCCCCCCCTCAGGCCGACGCTCCCCCCCATCTCGGCACCAGATGGGATGGGTTCCAGGGTTCCCACGTTCCCCTCCGGTACGGGGGGGAGGCGGCGGCGAAGACGACGGCAACGACGACGGCTGCGACGACAGCGGCGACGACGGCGACGACGACGGCGAAGACGACGGCGAAGACGACGACAACGGCGACGACGACGATGGTGACGACGACGATGGCGACGATGACTGCGAAGACGACGACGGCGACGGCGACGGCGACGACGACGACAGTGAAGACGACGACGATGGCGGCGCTGCTTTTGCTGACGAATGCGCTTGAGACACGCACGCAAGCGCGCACGCGCATGCACGCACGCAAGCACGCACACACACACAACCACCGCGCAGCACACCATACCACACCCAAGGGGGGGGATACGCACGCACTTGCGCAAACCACCACACCACATCACACCACCACAACACGCCACACCCACAGGGGGGGGCGGGGGGACACGCACTTACGCACGCACGCACGCACGCGCGCAAACCACCACAGCACCACACCAAGCCACACCCACAGGGGGGGGGCGGGGGGACACGCATGTACGCACGCACGCACGCACGTGCGCAAACCACCACACCACACCACAGCACACCACAGGGGGGGGGAGGGGGCATCCATCATGGGGGGGGGGGCTGGACACCATGCCATCTGGTTGGACGGCGAAGGGGGAGGGCAGACCCTGGACCATATATGCTCATCTGGGGGACCTTCCTGGGGCCCACCCAGCGGATCAGTGCGATTCTACTTTGACTCTAGCGCGACCCTAGTTCGACTCCAGCTCGACGCGGCATCTTCGCGTGAGCGGAGCGAGTGGCCCCCAGGAAGGCCCCCAGGACGAGGTACCCAGCAAGTCATACCCTCACGGGTCCACTCGACGTTGGGGTATCGGATGCCCCCGTTGGGGGTTCGCTTGTTGTGGTCATCCCAATGGCGAGCGAGCGAAAGTTCCGAAGAAACACCTATCCGACAGGATGCACACAATGGAGGTTCAGACAGAATCACATGCACAGGAGCAGGCTTTCCATCACCACAGGGAGTTGATGCACAGGAGCAGGCTTTCCATCACCACAGGCCACCGCAATCCACACGACAAATTCTGAACCCCGGCCTTCTTTTCTAAAAGCCAACTTGCATGCAGGGGGGTTGCGTATAGCAGGAGTCCGCGCCGAGGTGGAGGAATGGTGAGAAGGGGGGAGGAGGAGGAGGAGGAGGCGGAGGAGGAGGAGGAGAAGCAGGAGGAGCAGGAGGGGACGATGACGCGGTTTTAGGGCGAGGAGGAAGGTAGGAGGAATGGGGGTGTCGGCGTTTGAGGGAAGGAGGCAGGGAGGCAGGGAGGCAGGGGGGAGGGAGTTGTCGGCGCTCCCTCCTCTTTCGCCGGAGCCTTCTTCGGACTCGGTCGTCGGGACGGCGGCGACAGTGGTAGTTTCCACACTCCTTTCGTGCCAGGAGGGAGAAGGAACGGAAGGACGAAGTGAGGACGATGACAAGGGGAGCAGGATGGCAACGAGTCTCGCTCACCTCCCCCCCACCCCCCTTCCCCTCCCCGTCTCACCCCCGCTCTCCTGTGCCACCTTCCCCCCCCCCTCCCTCTCCAGCTCTCCCTCCCGCCCCCCGTCGCACGGCGAGTGGCAGCCCTGCGGGAACGCCCAGGCCGAGGAGCAGCGGGATGGCTGGCGACCTGTCGCGGACCTTTGCGGGCCCCATCCTGCCCGCCAGGCCTCGCTGTCCGATCAAGCCTCGCTTTCTGGCCCTCCGGCGCGCCAGCGCCGCAGCCGCAGCCCTTTAGGCGGTGCCCGCGTGCGGGCCTGCTTCGTGTTTCGTGCTTCTCCTCCCCGCCGGGGTGGCAGGCACGTCCCTCTGAGGGGCGCCGCCCGCGCGTCTCGGGCTCGCGGGCCTCCTTCCCCTCGGGGCTGGCCCGGCCTAGCCCCCCCGCCCCCCGTCTCTCTCTGTCCCCCTTCCCGCCGCCCCTCCTCCTCCTCTCCGTGGGGAGGGGGGGGAGAGGCGGGCCGCCTGGCCGTGCCCTGTCAGGGTCTGCACCCTGGCGGCCTCACGCCCCCGCTTGATTTCTCCAGCGCGGCCACGCCGACGGGAGGCGATGACGATAACCCCAGTCTCTGTGTCTCTCTCTCTCTCTCTCTCTCTCTATATATATATGCATATATATATATATATATAGTTATGTATCCCTATTCCCGTCCGCTCTGCCTCTCTCCTTCTCTCTCTCTGCCTCCCTTTCCCCCTGCCTCTCTCCCTCTCTCTCTCTCTCCTCGGTGCCTCTCTCTCTCTGCCTCTCCCCGTCCTCCTCTGTGTGCCTCGCCCTCGCCCTCTCTCTCTCTCTCTGCCTCCCCTTCTCCTCGCGCCCCCCCCCCCCCCGAAGCCGACGGCGGCGCGAGGGGCCCCGCCGCCCCCGCCGCGGGGAGGGGCCCCGCGCCCGCGCCCCCCTTGGGAGGCCGCCGCTCTGCGCGGCCACCCGGAGCTGCAGCGCTGCGAGCTGCTCGTGGTGTCGCCGCTCCGCCGCGCGGTGCAGACCGCGGTCGCCGCCTTCGGCGAGCGCCGCGCGGGGAGCGAGAACCGAGGGCCGATCGCGCAGTCACCCGTCGTTGAGAGTGGAGGTACTTCTGGAGTCCCAGGTTCCAACCTCCACTCCTCCTGCTCCTCCTGCTCCTCCTGCTCCTCATCCTCCTCCTCCTCCTCCTCCTCCTCCTCCCTCCTCCTCCTCCTCCTCCTCCTCCTCCTCCTCCTCCTCCTCCTCCTCCTCCTCCTCCTCCTCCTCCTCCTCCTCCTCCTCCTCCTCCTCCCCCACGTGGCCAAGCCAGGCGGGCGTGGCGCATACACCGCTGTTGGGTTCAGGCTCAGGATGGGCTTGGCCAGGGAACCGTGTAGATTGTAGTGGCCTCCGGCCAGTGCCGCCGATCCGGGGCGCTCCGGGTGCCTGTGGAAATCAACGACGACGAGGAAGACGAAAACCACGACGAAAACGAATACGTCGACGACGACGATGACGAGAGCGACGACGACAACGACCACGACGACGACGACGACGGCGATGACGACGACGACGCGAGCGACGACGACGACGACGACGATGACGCGAGCGACGACGACGACGACGACGACGACGACGACGACGACGACGACGACGACGACGACGACGACGACGACGACGACGACGACGACGACAACGACGACGACGACGGCGACGACGGGGGGGGAGCTGGGTTGCAGGGGGGGGAGGTCTTCTCTGCAGGGGGGGTCCGCTCGGCAGAGGGAGGGGCTGCAGGGGAGAGGGGGGGTCCGCTCTGCAGGGGGGGGGGGGCTGCAGGAGGGGGGGTCTGCTCTGCAGGGGGGGTGTGCAGGGGAGAGGGGGGGGGGGGGTCCGCTCTGCAGGGGGGCGGGGCTGCACGGGGCGGGGGTCCGCTCTGCAGGGGGGGGGGGGCTGGGCTGCAGGGGGGGGGTCCGCTCTGCAGGGGGGGGGGGGCTTGTGGGCAAGTCTGGAGTGCCACTCACGAGGGAGTACGCAGGCAGGTTCCCGAAAGGATCCATGGTGTCGATCTCGATCGGCCTGTAATCGCAATCGTCGGAAGACCCACTCTACGCCACTACTCCGTCAACTCGCTCTCTACGTCGCTATCCGGACCGCTCTCGGCGACTGCGGTGAGGTAGGCGGTCAACTCGGCCCTGGAGGACGGCAGAAGCCAGAGTGGGCCCCAATGAGGCCTGGGTGGGACCCCAAGGGCCGCCCTGAGAAGATAGTCGGCCGCCTCGGCCAGCCGGAGCTCCCAGGATGAGATGATAACGGCCAGGCTGCGGCCGCCACGCTTGGTGCGGCCACCCCGGGCCACCATGCGAGGTTGGAGGGAGTCTGTTTTTCCTTCCACCTTGAGCCAAAGTGCCCACGAAGGTCACGCCGGGGACCAATCCGCATGCAGGCGTGGTGTCGCACCGCATTTGGATTGATCCCCGCCCCCAGGTTCATGCAGGCGTGGGGTCGCACCGCATTCCCCTGAGAGCTGCACGCATGGCTATGCTACACCGCTGCTGACTACTATACCCAGCTGTGCAAACTAAGCTTGCGAACGTAGCGTGTATAATCTCTAGCCTCATCGTGGCAATCTAAGCGGTCGCCGGCTGGGCCGGTGACCTGACAAGGCCTCTGGGGCCCTCCAGAAGGTCACCGATGACCGGCCCGCCGACAAATATCATCATCATGCTATGCCTCACGCACCGCACAACAATATACAAGAACACTGCTGCTGACGTCTATATCCAACAATGCAGAAGCAACGAAAATGTCACGAATTTCGGTACTGGCCATCCCGGCCAGGTTTACGTCACCGCACAATAGCAGACAAGACAGGCATTCCAACGTGCTCCGGAAACGCTGTTCCGGAGCACGTTCCAGCGTGTTCCGGAAACGTTGTTCCGGAACGCGCTGGGCGGACAGGCAGGGAGAAGTATCTGGAACATGCGCCTTCAGCTCCGCTCCGTCCCCCACACACGGGTCACTCTGCAGGGGGGGGGTGCAGGAGAGGGGGTCTGCTCTGCAGGGGGGGGGGTGCAGGGGAGGGGGGGGGGTCCGCTCTGCAGGGGGGGGGGCTGCAGGGGGGAGGTTCGCTCGGCAGGGGGGGGGTCTGCTCAGCTCTGCCGGGGGGGGGGGTGCAGGGGAGGGGGGGGGGGTCCGAGGGAGGGGGGGGGAAGGATAGGTCGGAAATGAGGTCCCCCCCCCTTGGCAGAGCGAAGCTTGAGCGAGCTCAAGCCCACGCTCTCAGAAACTCACACGCCGGATGGGCGGATTTCATCGCCCCCGCGGCAAGCGAGGGGGAAGCGAGAAAAAGGAGGCCTGCTCAAACGGCGGCGGGCCTTCTCGGAAGCCATCGCGCCTCCGGAGAGGTGTTCTGTGCCTCAGGGGACGCTTAGAACACTTCACAGAAGGTTGGGCGACTTCCGAGCCTTCTGAGAAGCTGATAGAGTTGATGGAGAATTTGGGGAGCGAAGATAGAAAGTTAATAGCGCGTAAAACCCCCTTCCTGGTGAGCGTTTTTCTTTCTCCCCAGGGCAACGCTCGCTACCCAGACCGAACCTTTCCCCCCTCCGGGTAAAGCTAGCGATCGCACAGGGGGTGGTTGCCTGGACCCCCCCCCCCTAAATGTTGTGTGCGCAGGCGATTGATGCCCCAGTGGCGCGGACGCACCCTGGCGGGTGCACGCCGCGGCCAAAACCCCCCTGGGTAACGGCGGTTACGCAGGAAAGAGAAATAATTTTCTGTCATTTGCCCAGTCGATAGCGAATTGCCATTGCTCGTTTCTCGAGGGGGTATCGCGGCCAGACCTGTTTGCGGGCTTGCACCTGCAGGGTTATGAAAAGGGGGGTTGCCAAAGGGGGTTCTGCCCACCCCCGAAGAACGCATCTTCCCCCCGTTCCCCTCCCCCCCTCTGGGCCTGGGCCAGAGAGAGCGTCGGCTTCCGTGGGCGAGAAGGCAAAGCGAGAAGGGTACAGAAAGTATACTCCACTCCCACTGCCCCCCCTTCAACTAAATGGCTTCCCCCTTCTCTTGGCAAGGGGGCCAGGTGGAGATGGGGGTGCCCTGTTGCTCCCCGGATCGTCGTCCTCGCCGTCGCCTGCCTTCCTTCTAGGTTCGTCGGGGGTGGAGAGGGTGCCGATGCGCCTCCTCGCTCCTCGTCACCACGACTGGATTCGCCACGGAGGCTTGGTCAGAGCGCAGACCGGTCGAGGTCTGAGGATTAGCGGTATGTATCGATGCCCCTTTTTTTCTTGAATCGAGGTCTTGTTCCCCAATTTCGGCCTGCGGGTGGCCCTTAGCCTGGATGTGGCCGCCCCGCAGCTCCCCGGAGCCGCACACGCAAACGGTCACTCCTGCCCAGGATCGAGGCTGAGTAGTAGGTAGACCCTGCCGACCCAAGGGTACCCTCGTGTCCTGTGTTTCGCGGCCCATGCCTTCTACGCTCCCGTGGCAATGTGGCCCTCGAAAGGGTCTCGTGTCCTCTCGCGTGTCCTCTCCAATCAGCCCCGACTGCAGGGTCACTCCCTGCGTGCAGCCAGAAGCCAAGAGGGTGAAGCATCTGCGCAGACAGCAAACTATACGCAGGAGGACCGCGCGGCTTTCTGCGCGGGGCTCGTCCTGGCAGCGCCTGCCCTGGCCCCAGGATGGAGGGTCCAGCACCGATCCGAGAAACCCACGTGGACCTTCTGGCAATATGGATTTCTGGATTCCCCAAGTCCATTTTGCTGCAGGCGCCCAAAAGGATCGAGTGCTTGCGACGACCTTGGAAGTTCTCGAGTGGGTCAGGAGCTTCTTGGATGCACTTGAGGGGCTCGTGGGGGATGCCTCTCAAAGGGGCCCCTTGGAGGGCTATTGGGGGCATCTGAGGGGCCCGTAGGGCCTTCTTGGGGGTCTGCTGGGGGCGTCTTGGGGGCCCCTTGGGAGCCTCTTGGGGCCTCTTGTGGACGTCTCGGGGGCAGTCGTTTCTGGATTCCCAAAAGTCCCATCTACGTCAGGCGCCTTCCTGTTTCAAGAGTCGAGCGGTGCTCCCTCTCCCCTCCTCTTCATGGGGCGGGCGGAGATCCAATATAGTTGCAACGCCTTCCTTCTTCATGTTTCTACACACTTCTTCCGACCGGTGTGCATGCACATGGTTCTTCTTGTATTCAGGGGCATTGTTAGGGGATCTGTTCAGAGAGGAATGCATCGAACCGAGTCGCCAACTGATTGCCGATAGGGGCCTGATAGGCCTCCCCACCCAGGAACGTGTCTGCTTCGATATCGGGGGCCCGCCGCCGATCTATCGGCGATGTATCGCCGATTCGAGCTCGATGTTCCCCCTCCTGAGCTGGACCCCCCATACGTTGCCCCTCGTCTATGGCACCGGAAAGCCCATAGTAAGGATTCGCTGCTTCATCAAGGGATCTCTCAATGACTTAAACATAAAAGGTTTGAGGTCAGCGCGGATTTCTTGGATCGGCGGTGGATATCCCTCTCCCTGGCGTACGGAGCGCGCCAGGGGCGGCCCCGGAGGTGCCGCCAGGCGGCCCCAGCGCCGATCCGAGACATCCGCGGTGACCTCCGAAAGTTTCTGTTCATGACACTGTTTGTTCGCCTGTAAAGGGGCCCGGCACCCTTACCACTCGGCATCGCTCGGACGAGGACCCCCGAGGAGCATCTTGGATCATCGTGCGAAAAGTAGACGCGCGAAACTGGCACATGCACGGGGAAGTGATCGTTTTCTTAGTTATTGTTTTGCCGATCGGCCCAGGCCCTCGCACCCTCCGCCACCCATGGGGTAGATCTGGGCTGGTTCTGGCGCCCGTTTCAAGCAGGTGGAGTCTCTCTCCCCTGGGACGCATTGTTGCAAACAACCGCACTGAGCAGAGGTCCAGAGCCAGACTCCCCCCTTCCTCCCCCACCCTTCAGCCCAACGTCGAAACGCCGAATCAGAAAAGGCTCTCCTCCTCTTTCGCCTGCGCGGCCGGAAGGTAGACGCATCCACTGCTTATCTAGGTCTCCCAGGTGGGGTGCGTGCAGATGGGGGCGAAGGATCGCTCCGCATCACCGATGCATCGGCGCTGCAACTCGATGTGGAGCCCAATGTGGAATCGCCGAGTATTAAAACGCTACGGACGTCCGAGCGATAGCGGGACCCTGGACTTTGCCTGCAGCCGCCCTCCCCTGGCGCGGCTCTCTTCCGCGAGGGGGCCCCGCCGCCCCCGCCCCCCCCGCAAACGAGGCGAGCGGCCCCGCTGCCGTGCGGTGCTCTCGGCCCTTTGCTGCGAGCGCTGGGCCTCCCGCTGCGACGAGGGGCGGCCCAAGGCGCCGGCGCACCCCCGCTCGGAGCTCTGGTGGACCCAACTCACCACCCACCAAACCACCCCCACCCAACCCGAAGGCCTCAATTCGCCCTCCGTTTCCAGTGGTGGGGGGGTCGGGGCACAGTGAAAACATCCAGATGGAACCCGCACCCCCACCCCAACCCGAAATTCGGATCTTCGGGTCGGGTTGGGGTGGTCTGGTAGGTAGTCACCAACAGGGGGCCCAGGCGAAAAGGAAGTGGTAATTACAACATAGAGCTGGTGCAGTAGATTGTGGAGTTGCCATAGATTTGGGGTGTGCAAGACATCCCGGTGCGCAAGCGTATTGCTGGATTTTCGCGTGCAATGCGTTAGTTGAAATACAATGCAAGACAATTATTTGGCGCAATACATTTGCAATGCGATTGCCCAAAATCTATTGCATCACCCGCTTTCAGCTGGACCCCCTTCTGGGCCATGAGGAAGAGCCCCGAATCATGGGGGCCGGTGAGGGATAGCTACACATTCGCGCCTTGGGGTCCAAAACTGAAGTTGCCCCGGAGCGCAGTTATCCCGAATGAGTCTGGCGCCAAACCTTCCCGAATCATCAATGCTGGGAGCAGTCAGGGGTAGCTGCATATTCGCGCCTCGGGGGGCCAGTTCGGAGCTACCCCAGACCGCAAACTCGGGCGTCTAATCCGCCGCGTGTGTGTGTTGTGTTTTGTGTTTTTTTTTCCCGATAGACTCGGGATGCAGAACGGATCCCGGGGACGGAGTCGGGGCCCCAGACGGTCGACGTCGTGAAGCGACAGTGAGGTCGTCCGGGGCCAGGGCTCGCGGGCGGCGGAGGTCGATTGGGGGGATCGCACGCCCTCCCCTGCCCCGCCTGCCCCGGCTCTGCCCCTGCCTTCCTCCGACGCTGGGCAGACGCGGTCGGGGGCGGAAAAGAGGGGGGTGATGACACTAGGGGGGGGGGTATCATGGCGGGGGGCATCATACTTCCCCAGATGTCATGGCGCCTCTTCTCATTTCAATGCGGTCCCGGCCCCCCCGCGGGGCCGCGCACGTGCCGCCGGCCACGATTTGCACCCCCCCTCTTGGACCCCCCCTCTTGGCCGCTCCCGACACGGGTGAGCTGGGATCCTAGCGTTCGTGCCTCCTCCGAGGCTGTCTCCCGCCTCTGCGACAGCACCGCCGCGCACTCCGCGGCACTCCGCGGAGTGCGGCGACGGCGCCCGAAGTGAAAGTAGCCGGGCGGGGATGTTGCGAAACGGGAGGCGGGCTCCGGACAGGGCGGGGGCTGGAGTTTCTCAGCGTCCATCCTGTGAGCTCAGGAGATCTCCAGCCCCTCCCCCTCCCCCTTCCCGAGCAGCCCCGCTGCCGCGCGGCCCTCCTCGGCCCTCCGCCTCGAGCACCCTGGGGCCTCCCGCTGCGACGAGGGGTGGCGCAAGGCGCGCTGCCGCCAGCCTTCAAGCAGTGGCGAAGCGTCCTGGCTCGCCTATAGCCCAACAGGACCTTTTGTGGTTCCCACGAAATGTTCCTAGAACATCTCTGGCCATGACTGTCTTGTTTTGACACATCGGGTCTATGTTCTGAGAACCCTGTTTTTGCTCTTCGAACATTTCTGGGTTCTGAGAACACTTCGTGGTAGGACGATAGAAATGCCGGGACGGCCGGTCCCTGCTCAGATCCTGGGATTGTGGCGTGTGTCCTCTGGCGCGCGTGCCGGTCGTTGCCCGGGGCTCCCCGCCCCCTCCCGCGTGCTGGTGCTCGCGCGTTCCTGGCCAGCCTCGAGCTTTTTCCCTCTGAGGTTGACAAGCCAGCAGGCGACGACAATCTTATGCCCAGAGATCCTGGCGTTGCACATTTTTTGTCGCTACCGGAATTTTCGCTCCATTTCGGGCCCTGGGACCCTCACAGATCGATCCGGCTCGAAAAATGACGCAGAACGATGGGGTCCCAGTCTCCAGTCGCGATTTCGTCAAATTTTATATTTGTTTTCCAGCGTCGGATCTCAGGGTCGCGCGCATACTATAACGATTGCAACGCAACCCCGCCCAGCGACGCAGCCCACCCCACCCGCAAGCGTTGTATTTGTTTGTTTACGGGGGCGGCGTGAACGGGAGATGTTCGGAGCCCCATGCTTTTACAAAGTTGAAGGCCAACTTCGCTATCATGGAGAAGTTCGGAATAGTGTTGCTCGGCGGCCAAAAGGTTCTCAATGCCTAGAGCGCGTTTGCACTTTTCGTGAACTCCCGAATTGATTTCGCACTTGCTCCGAACTTTCCCCGAGCTCCCCCCAAACGTTGTCCACACTTTTCCATCCGTTGGTATTGATTCAAGATGTGTTCAAACTTGTTCATACTTTTCCAAACTCTGTCAAACCATTTTCTTTTTTTCCGAGCTATCCCTGCATGTTTGAATGTTAGTTCGAATTTTTGTTTTCCTTGGTTCCCGAACTCGAGCTCCTAACCTTCTCTCCGCCCGAACCCACGCCCTGACATGTTCCTTTCCCAGGAATGACCGCCTGTGCCTGTGCCCTCCTCAGCCAGATACAACCCAAGCGTTACCGTCTCTTCCACGGGGTAGCGACCAATTACCGGCAATGAGAGAGAGCGATATCCTTGCCTTTGATGCAGTCACAAGGGGGTCGATTGGGGATCGGTCTTCCCCGCTGACGGGGCTGCGCTCGCGGTCGTGAGCGGCATGCGTTCGCCCTGGGATTTGCGGCCTTCGGCCGGGATGCCCGACTGTTCGGTGGATGCAGGTTGTTGTGCAGAGCATCCCCTTGGCGGCCCAGCTTCCATGTCCTACAGGGGCCTCATACGAGCTTGGCGCTTCGCTAGTGTGGAGAGACTGGCGGTCCCCTGCTGGTGTCCCACCCACCCACCCACCATCCCCTTCCCAATCGTTGTCTTGGAGAAAGTGACACGCTGCCCGTGACCAAGATGTCGCAGGATCTTGTCCACGACGGTGACCCACGAATCGACGGTGACCAAGTTCGGTACCTACGTTGCCGCGTGCAGTCTTGGTCATGGTAACAGGTTTTCCCCCTTCGCTGCTCCTTCTGGATAACTCTTCCCTATCGCACCCCCAGACGTGTCGGTAGGGCGGGCCTGGCGGGCCGCTTGCGGCTCCTCAACATGTATCACCTTGAAGTTTGAAGCAGGAGTTGCACGGACGGGGGGGGGTGGGTGAACGTTCTCGCCTTCGTGCCGCACGCCTTCGTCTTAAAGGTTGCAACGTTTCCCACGATGGGGCACCGTTCGTTTTGAATATGGGGCTCTCGCCTTAGCGCCGCGCATTCTCCTCGTCAGTATGTAACAATTACAGGGGTGCATCGCGGGTCGTTTTCACAGTGGGGCTCTCGCCTGAGCGCCGCGCACATTCGCTTCAACAAAAGCTTGAAACCGTTACCAGAGTGGAGCAGCAGTTGTTTTGTTTTCAACATGGGGTTCTCACGTTATCGCCGCGCTCGCTCGCCTCAGAAACTTGCTTGCAGCAGCCTCAGAGATGTCTCGCAGGTCGTTTTCAAAGTGGGGCTCTCGCCCTAGAGCCGCGGACATCCGTTCGACGGTGCGCAGCAACTTCAGGCATGTAAGTCAATTCCTTTTCCAAAGTAGGATGTTCGCCATGTCGCCACGCACGTTCGTCTTCAAAGCTTGCAGCCGCTACAGGGAGCACGGTTCCGTTTCCACTATGGGGCTTTCGCTTGGGGTGCCTTGCAACAAAGCACAGGCTAGCAGCGATGGAGGGCGGCCCTCTTTCCAATCTGAGGTTTTGGCTTGCGACCTCTTCGGATTGCATGGCACAATTTATTAACTTGGCAGATTTGGGGCGGTCTTTTTCAGCACGGGGATCTCGCTGGACACCTCGATGAATTGTAGGATCGTACAGCTTCGCAGTCCCAGTTGCTCCCTGGAGGGCTGCAGGGCACCTCTTTTTCAAAGTGGGACCCTCGCCTGAATGACAGCCCCGTGGGGTGTTGGTCTCTCCCCTCGACTCTCTAGGGTCGAGGGCAAGACTTGGCAAGTAGGAGGCAGCTGACTCCGAGGCGGGGATTTGTCCATAGCCGCCGCCTGGGGGATTGCCCTTGGAGCCGTGGGCCGACTACATTCAGACAGCGACACTACGAGCAGAGCACCTTATGAAGTTTCACGGCATCGACAACTGGTGGACGGTACATTCGCGGAATGTGTGGCGCATGGTTTCACGAGTCTTAAACCACGACCGAACAAGGTGGATATGGCGAGTGCTACGCTGGCAACCAGGCCTTAACCGGCGTCAGCAGGGACAGAGGCAGCACGGTGGCCAACGCAGGCGTTGGTACGACGAAATCAACCCCTACTGACGCCAACGCAGACCAGACCTCCACCGACCATCCACAGAGGCCCAACTGAGAGGACAGCCAAAACGACATCATATGGACGCAGAAAGCCAAATATACCGAAACATGGGCGGCGCTCGAGCATCACTACACCGACCTCACACCAGTAAACACCTAGGACCAAGACTCATCAAGTGAACGCCCAGAGGAAGTCGAGACTGCACGCTTCGCCCGCGCCGACGCCGACGCCAGGGACTTCCCCTTTCTCTTCCTCCTCCGCTGGTCTGGGATCAAGATGTCCAGCGCTTCCGTTGCATAGCGTGCTGGTCTTCCAGCCGCCACAAGCATGCCCGAGCCAAACTCCCTTGTCCCGCCCCGCACGGCATGGGACATACTGTAATGGAAGCTGGCCCTTACACATTTTGTAAATTTTATTGGTCGCATTCTTCGACAAATGTGTCATACTTGTTTCGCTAGTGTTTGCGCAAAGCGGCTTCCAGAACAGGCCGCGATCGATTGGGCCGCCTGCTGGACGGGCTTGACGTTAGGCGCAATGTTTCGCTGGGACCTGTCGTCCCTGCCACTCTCCGACTGTATCACGAGTTAGGGGATTTAGCTGCTGTGGACCCCCAGCTTGCGTGGGCTCCCCACCTTGCCAGCTTCACACGATAGGCTGCTCGACGGTGACGGCCTTCACGATTATGAAGGCCAATCCATAGTCCATAGTCCATAGTCCTGACTCTATCGATGTGCCTCGCACTGCATGTATCCAGCCAGGCCAGAGTCTCAACGCCGCTGCCTCACCCACCTGGTCCGAGCCAGGCCTGGAGGCTGGCCACAACGGTGGTCGCATCGCGTCGCGCATCGCATCGACCTTCGGGGACCTCGGCATGCAGTGGTCAGGAGGGAGAAAAACACAGACACAATTAATCGTCGATCCCCCAGAAAAATATGGGAAAATGTGGGAAGTGGGGGGGAAGACACCAACCCAGAAAATATTGGAAAATATAGGAAATCTTTTCATTTGTGTGTATTTATTTCTGTGTCCTGGGGCCCCTTCAAGTGGATATGAACATGTTCGGGCCCCGTGGGCCCAGATCATCTTCATACCCCCGGCCCGGTGGGGCCCGAGGGCGTCGGTTCCCCACGAGGCGGATGTGGCTTGGTATCGCTCGGACGTGTGCATTTTTTCTCGGCGGGGATTGTAAAAGAGCATCCTGAATCATCCTGCGAAAAAAAACCACGCACGAAACCGAAAAAAAACACAGGGAATGGCCGACCGAGCGATGGCGAGATGGACGCATCCCCGCCTCGACGCTGCAGCAGGGGGAGGTGCTGAAGAGGAGGGCTGGCGAAGGCGACGCGGCTTGCACGAGGGCGGGCTCGGGGTCAGGAGGGGTAAAGATGAGGAGGAGAGGATGGGGAGGAGGAGCAGGGAGGAACAGGGAAGAGGAGGAGGAGGCGGAACAGGGAGGAGGAGGAGGAGGCGGAACAGGGAGGAGGAGGAGGAGGAGGAGGAGGAGGAGGAGGAGGAGGAGGAGGAGGAGTAGGAGTAAGAGTAGGAGGAGGAGGAGCCGGAGGAGGAGCCGGAGGAGGGTCGACTGGGTGCCCGACGCTCCAGAGGCGCAGCTGCTGGAGTCGTTCCCGTTCCTGCGGGGCTGCCGGGGGGCGCCGTCCGCACACCTGCACGGGGTCCTGGCTGGGCCGATCTTCGGGTGGGGCAAGCCCAGACGTGCTCACGTCATGGAAAACTCACGGCGGTTTTGTTGTTGGCGGTTCTTTGCTTCCCCGGGGGCCTCGCTGGGCCCCAGGACAGTCACAACACGACTCGGGACCAACAGCCGGCCCTGGGGAAGGGGTCGTGATGTGTGGGGACCACGTGCTGGAAACATCTGGGCATCGCATGTTTGGAAGATATTGATACCGCTGCTCATCCTGTAGATCCGTCGTCGCCGCAGCTGGAGTCTCCTCGGCATTCTGGTGAGAATGCTTTCCAGGAGAGGTCCAGGGAGCAGCGGCAGCGATACAGTGTTGTCCCCCCAGATCTTGGGCCCCGGTCCTGTGTACGGTAGGTTCGCGCCGCGTCGACGCTGCGGCGACCCCCCGCACGGGCGTTCAGGGCTGGGCGCCGCAAGCTGGCGGGCCTCGGCCAACATCGAGCGACCTGCGCTGTCGGGGAGCAGCGATGCGCTCGAGGTCGGGCGATCCCCCGCGGGGTCGGGAGCCAGGGCACGCGGCCGGCGCGACACGAGCCTGCCAGGTGTGCGCCTGCTGGCCAGGCCAGGAGAGGCGCACACGCCGAGCCTGGGCGCAGGCAGGGCCTGGCCAGGGGCGGCGCACGCAGCATCACCGGCCTCGAACGTATCCCTATCCCGAAGATTGACGCGCCAAAAGGCGATGGCAATCTTAGGGATGCGCCCTCAAACAACAAGGGAAGCCCTAAGATTGGCATCGTGATGAGGAGGTGCCCAGCACAGGGATATCGAAGGCATAAGAAAAAACGCCCCTACCCTGGTTTACGAGGCGCTGTGCGCTGAAACTCCTGTGGGCTGACAGGGTAAACCCTGCGTGATGTGCCGCGTCCTGGCGGCTCTAGGCTTTGGGGGTTCCCAGGAGGTTTACAGACCACGCACTTGTAACCCAGGGTAGGGTCGTTTTTTCATCCCTCAAGGATAGGGATGTGTTCCAGGCTGGCAACAGCAGGCGTGCGGTCGGGGGCCTCACAGGCTGGGGGGGCACGGAGGCGCTGCCGGAGCAGTGGACCCCGACGCAGGCGGCCGCCCCTGCGCGGCGCCAGGAGGGAAGGACATCGAGGATCTCCAGAGTCGAGGCTCGAGGTTCGGGCCGGGCGGAAGGGGGGGATTGGGAAAGGGGGGGCGTTACGAAATTTGCTGCATGCAGCTGGTTTCGGCCCCACCGAGGGGCCCATTCCTCGATACATGGCTCCATCCGGCGCCGGGAGGCGCCAGATGGAGCCGATTCTCAAACCCCCCCTTTGCTATCCCCCCCTTTCGCCCGACCCGAGAGGTTCGAGGTGCGCTGTTCTTTTGGCAGCTGTTGTGCCCAAGCTGGGCCTCTTCGTCGCCACGGGTGGATCCGCAGAACCACCCAGGGATTGGTCCCCGGGCCGAGTTTTTACCGGAGGGTCGCCACGAAGGACAGGGTGTCTTGGAGGAGAGGGGTCCCCGAACTTGTGTGCCTTTGCTGTTTTCTCTGGTTCCCGGGGCTCTCCCGAGCCGTTTTCGCAAACATTGGTTCTCCCCCAATCCCCGAGTCCCGCCCAAAAAGTTTGGCTGCTCAGAAGAAGAAGGGGGGAATTTTGGGGTACACCCACGGGAGCTACTCGGATGTACCCCTATCGAGGATGGACGCCCCCCCATCGTATATCCCAGTGTTGGGAATGTGTGGTCCAGTCGAACAAAGCCCACGAAGCCTGGGATGTGGATCGGCATATCCCCTGGTACTTTCGGATGGTCAAGAAGTTCCCCGTGGCTCAGTGTTTGTCTCGTTGGGAGCCTTGGGGTCTAGGACCCGTTCTTGACCAGCCTCGAGCTTGTATCCATACCCCCTGAGGTTGACAAGCCAGAAGGCGACGACAATCCTGGCGTTGCAATTTTTACCACAAACGGGCGATCCTGCAAGGTTTCAGGCCACGGGGCTCACAGATCGATCCGGCTCGAAGAAAATCAGAAACAGAGGGTCCAGGGCTCTGGTCATGCTTGTGCGTTGTTGTGTTTTTCCCACATCCCCAAAGTTGGTTTCTCGTTTCCTCTGGACACCCCGCGCAGGAACAGGATGGAAGGAACACCCCCTCCCTCACTCACACACTCGCACACTCACACCATCTCCACAGCATCAACATCACTTACATACTCACTCTTATTCACTCGACCACTCTCATTCACCCACTTGCACTCGCTCATTCTGAGTGGCTCACTCACCCACTCACAGCTACTACTCATCACTCATCATCACCATTTTCAAAACACCACCGTCACCGTCGTCAATATCGCACACACTCACTCACGCACCCACACACTCAGCTTGAGGAGGTCTCAGGCGGGAGCCTCGTCTGTGAGTAAACACCATCACTATCACCCATCACCATCGTCACCATGATCACCCATCACCCGCCACCATCGTCACCATCACACATCACCATCGCCCTTCTCATCGGAGGGAGCCTCAGGCGGGAGCCTCGTTTGTGAGTGAATTGCGATCCCCACATCCCAAGTGGGGTTCTCGTTTTCTCTGGACACTCCGTGCAGTCCTGTCACCTCACCCCCTCTCCTCTTCTGCCTTCGCACGTTCACTCGCTCAATCACTCACGTACCATCATCATCATCATCATCATCATCATCACCACCATCCTAACACCTTCAGCTTCTTCTTCCTTCACACACTCACTCACTCCATCATTCGCACCATCGTCACCAGTCACACACTAACCACACATGATCACTCTATTACGCAATCAATCACTCACGCTCAATCATTCACCCCATTATCATCAGTCACACACTTACCACACACGATCTCACTATCACGCACTCAATCACACACACACCATCATCACCACTGGCCGCATCACCATCTCAATCATCATCATCACTCATACCATTATGATCATCACTCGCCTGTGTGCCGTCTCGGGTGGGAGCCTCGTCTGTGAGTGAATTGCGACGAGGTCTCAGGCGGGAGAACCCGATGGGGCCCGCGCTTCATGTTCGAATCCGAGGCGGGTCATCGGCCTCCTGTAATTGTCGTCGCTGTTGGGCTCCTGAGGCTTGAATATAGAGGAAGTATGCGGCGGGAGCCTCGTCTGTGGAGGAGTGAATTGCGAGGAAGTCCAGGCGGGAGCCCCCTCCCTATGGGGCCCGCACTTCATGTTCGAATCCGAGGCGGGCCATCGGTCTCCTGTAACGGTCGTCACTTGTGGGCGCCTGGGGCTTGAATCTGGAGGAAGTATGAGGCGGGAGCCTCGTCTGTGAATGAATTGCGAGGAAGTCTCAGGCGGGAGACCCCTCCCTAAGGGGCCCGCACTTCATGTTCGAATCCGAGGCGGTTATCTGCCTCCTGTAATTGCCGTCACGTTTGGGCGCCTGATGCTTGAATGGCTTGAATATGGAGGACGTATGCGGCGGGAGCCTTGTCTGTGAGTGAATTGCGAGGAAGTCTCAGGCGGGAGACCCCTCCCTATAGGGGTCCGCACTTCACGTTCGAGTCCGAGGCGATGCATCGGCCTCCTGTGACCATCGCCATGTTTGTGCTCCTGAGGCTTGAACTCGCAGGAAGTATGAGGCGGGAGCCTCGTCTGTGAGTGACTTGCGAGGAAGTCTCAAGCGGGAGCCCGCTCCCTATGGGGCCCGCACTTCATGTTCGCATCCGAGGCGGGTCATCGGTCTCCTGTGACCATCGCCATTGTTGGGCCCCCGAGGCCTGAATCTGGAGGAATATCAGGCGGGAGCCTCGTCTGTGAGTGACTTGCGAGGAAGTCCGGGCGGGAGCCCCCTCCCTATGGGGCCCGCGCTTCATGTTCGAATCCGAAGCGGGCCATCGGCTTCCTGTAACGGTCGTCACTTTTGGGCTCCTGAGGCTTGAATCTGAAGGAAGTATGAGGCAGGAGCCTCGTCTGTGAGTGACTTGCGAGGAAGTCTCAGGCGGGAGCCCCCTCCCTATGGGGCCCGCATTTCATGTTCGCATTCGAGGCGGGTCATCGGTTTCCTGTGACCATCGCCATGTTTGGGCCCCCGAGGCCTGACTCGCGAGGAAGTATGAGGCGGGAGCCTCGTCTGTGAGTGACGTGCGAGGAAGTCTCAGGCGGGAGCCCCCTCCCCATGGGGCCCGCACTTCATGTTCGCATCCGAGGCGGGTCATCGGTCTCCTGTGACCATCGCCATGTTTGGGCCTTCGAGGCCTGAATCTGGAGGAAGTATGAGGCGGGAGCCTCGTCTGTGAGTGACTTGCGAGGAAGTCCAGGCGGGAGCCCCCTCCCTATGGGACCCGCACTTCATGTTCGAATCCGAGGCGGGCCATCGGCTTCTTGTAACGGTCGTCACGTTTGGGCTCCTGACGCTTGAATCTGGAGGAAGTATGAGGCGGGAGTTTCGTCTGTGAATGAATTGCGAGGAAGTCTCAGGCGGGAGACCCCATCCCTACGGGGCCCGCACTTCATGTTCGAATCCGATGCGGTTATCGGCTTCCTGTGATTATTGGGCTCCCGAGGCCTGAACATGGAGGAAGTATGAGGCGGGAGCCTCGTCTGTGCGCGATTTGCGAGGAAGTCTCAGGCGGGAGCCCCCTCCCTATTGGGCCCGCACTTCATGTTCGAATCCGAGGCGGGCCATCGGTCTCTTGTGACTGTCGTCATGGTTGGGCTCCCGAGGCCTGAACATGGAGGAAGTATGAGGCGGGAGCCTCGTCTGGGAGTGAATTGCGAGGAAGTCTCAGGCGGGAGCCCCCTCCCTACTGGGCCCGCACTTCATGTTCGAATCCGAGGCGGGCCATCGGTCTCTTGTGACTGTCGGCATGTTTGGGCTCCCGAGGCCTGAATCTGGAGGAAGTATGAGGCGGGAGCCTCGTCTGTGAGTGACGTGCGAGGAAGTCTCAGGCGGGAGCCCCCTCCCTATGGGGCCCGCACCCCACGTGCTTTGTCTGGGCCGTCCTCTGGCGCGCGCTTCCTCGGGGTCGTCCTCTGGCGCGTAGCCGCTGGGACGCACGACGTGCGTTTCCTCTAGGTCGTGTTCCGAACGAGGAAGAGGATGAGGATGAGAAGGACGAGGACGAGGACGAGGAGGAGGTGGAGGAGGAGGCAGGACGAGAAAGAGAGAGGGAGAGGAGGAGGAGGCAGAGGGGGAACAGGACGAGGAGGAAAAGGAGGAGGAGGAGGAGGAGGAGGAAGAGGAGGAGGAAGAGGAGGGGGGGAGGAATGCCCTAGGAGGCCTTTGGAGGTCCAGGGGGGCCCAGAAGACTCCAGGAGGCCCCAGGAGGAGGCAGGAGGCCTAAGGAGGAGGCCTAAGGAGGAGGCATGATAAGGAGGAGGAGGAGGAGGAGGAGGAGGAGGAGGAGGATAAGGAGGGGGAGGAGGGGGAGGAGGGGGAGGCGGGGGAGCAGGAGTAGGAGTAGGAGGAGTAGGAGGGGGAGGAGGGGGAGCAAGATGAAGAGGATGAGGAGGCGGAGGAGGGAGAGGGCGAGGAGAAGTAGGTGGGAGAGCGGAGGAGGAGGAGGAGGAAGAGGAGGAGGAGGTGGAGGAGGGAGAGGGAATAGGAGGAGGAGGAGGAGGAGGAGGAGGTGGTGGTGGTGGAGGAGGAGGCAAGAGGTGGAGGAGGTGGCAGGGGTTGAGGCATGAGGAGGAACAGTCAGGAGGAGAAGGAGGAGGCAGGAGTAGGCGGGATAATGGAAGTTAAACATATTCTCATGTGGGGTCCGACCGTCGGGGTACTTTTCCACAACGTCGGGTCTCAAAGGGGATGCGCAGTCATAAACTGGGAGATTTGTTTAGGGCCATCGAAATAAGGCGATGCCAAGTATGAGGGTGGGGATCGGTTGCAGGCTGGTACGTCCCCGCCCATCCTATCACCTAGGCCTCCCAGATGGGCTCTGCTCATGGTGCCGGAGGAGCGTGCCGCATCTCCGATGCATCGGCATGCGGCTCGATGTGCCCGATCTTCACGCCGACGGCGCCCCTTCACCGCCGATGTCGCCGATGCATCGCGATCCTCCGGCCCCATGTGCTCGGACCTAATTCAGGAGGCCTCTATATCAGGAGGGCCGAATTGGGGACGAAGAGGAGGGTGACGAAGACTTGCAGCTGTTCCTTACTTTAAGAGAATTCGTTGTTGGTGCCGCCGCGGACGCTGCCGATGTTAGACTATCATCGCCTCATCCTGCTCAATCCTTCTTCTGTTGGCTAGTGATGGCTGGTCTTGGGCAATGGTGAGCTCAGTGACACACGCTTCCTGAAAACTCCAATCTGAGTCGAATTCTGTTGCACACAACCGCATAGGGTTCCGTCCATGGGGCACAGACTGGGAACGGCCATTTGAGACATCAAAACAGACAAGGCACTAGCCACATGGCACCGACCAGAGACGGTTGATGGCCTCACCGTGGACCAACCAGGCGGCATCAACATACAGGCCTCTCGGGCGGTGTGTCATGGGGGGCGATAAGTGGGATTGAAGGAAGGCGCCTTTTTTCGAACGCTTGATGGATCCTGAAGGAGCCTTCTGGCGCCAACAGGGGGCACGAGCGCTCTTCCTCGCCCCCCATGGCATCGCTTCTCCATGAAGCAACGCCCAAGTCGCAAGCCACAGGAGGGCACCATCGCACAGGCACCGGCCATGGTCGGGGCACCGACCGGGGCTGGCCGACCGAGGCACCGCGGGCCAGCCACAGGGCTGCCAAACGCACGGTGCACCGGCCATGGGGCCCCAGCCAGGAACGGCTTGCTGCGACACCGAGGGCCGCCCACAGGGCCTCTTGCCTCGCGGACGGAGGGCGAAGCGGCGCGGCCGCCGGCGCCCCAGCCAGGGGCCGGCTCAGTCGGGCACCTTCAGCAGCTGCGCGATGCGGCGCGCAGCCGAGGAGGCGAATCCTGCCACGCGGCCCCCGGCGCAGCGCAGGTTCCCGAGGAGGAGCGGGGCTTGCCCGCGCGCGGGCAAGCGGTCCCTGGCCACCCCCGGGCGCGCGCCGCCCGTCGCGGCCGCTGCCGCCTCGGCGTTTGCCGCCGCCGCGGGGACTTCACACCCGCGGGAGGCCCGTCTCGAGCGCCCCGCAGAGAGGGCGGCGCCAACAATGGGTGTGGTCACGCTGGGGGCCCTCCGATTTTCGACACCTCCTCTCGAGAGATCGTCCGGGGTTCGAGGTTGTCGGATGTTTCCGTTGGTTCTCGCAGGTGTTCCGGCCTCGGGGTGATCGTAGGGGAACAAAGAGTGACGTAAACACAACAACCCGGAGGTCCGCGCGGATTTCTCGGATCGGCGCTGGGGCCGCCCGGCGGCGCCTCCGGCGCCGCCGCTGGCGCGCTCCGCGCGCCAGGGAGGGGAGTCCAGCGCCGATCCGAGAAATCCGCCGGGGCCTCCGAGTTTTTATGTTTATGTCACTGTTTGTTCCCCTGGGTATGGTTACGCTGCGGGCCCTTCGATTGTTCGACGCCTTCTCTCGAGAGGTCGTCCGAGGTTCGAGGTTGTCGGACTTTGTTCGTTGGTTCTGGCACGGGTTCCGGCCTCGGGGCGGTCTCCAGCAGCTGCGGCACGCCGAGAGCTTTCGGGGGGTGCCTGGATCGTCCCAAGCGGCCGCCAGAGGCCCGAGCTGTGACCCGAGAGCTAGATTTTTTTCGGCACCTCCTCTTGGCGACCACAATACAGTCAAGAACCCGAATGAGGACGCGCGACTTTGCTCAGGGTACTCTTGCGTCCTTGCCCTACCTTGCTCCTGCGCCCTTGGGGTTTTCGTCGTCCGCCGCCCAGAAAATCCCAACCTCGGCCTCCAAGGGTCTTGCGTCCTTGCCGCGCGTCCTTACTAGGATGTTTGCCTGTACAGTAGGGGTCTTGAAGAAGGAACCCTTTTCGTTGGGGAGGGGCTCCGTGTTCCTTGATTGTTTCACAGATTGCCGTAGGTTTTTCCAAGGTTTTCGATGGGGAATCGAAGTTTAACTTATGGGAAAGAGAGGCCTCGTTCCTTATTTAGGGTTCCTTAGGTCAACGCCCCGACGGTAGTTGTGGTTACGCCGCGGTGTGGTTTGCGATCGGCGCCGCTGGGGCGCAGGGGTCGCCACGCTGCGCCGCGTGCTCGAGGAGGCCTCCTCCGTAGCCATCTGGCTCAAGCCTCACTTGGACCCCGTCTGGGGTCCAAAGGGGGTGCGAGCCCCGTTGCCTGTCTGGCTCAGTGGCGCCGCCCCCCCGGCCCGCGCGTAGGGTAATCCGCGCGCGAGGCCGCATGCCGGACGGCCGCCGCGGCAAGCCGCCGGCTGGGGGCGGCCCCGCCGTGTCGCCGCAGCTGGGGAAGGCGCTGCTGGCCGCATGCCGGGTTGCTGGGATGCCTGGGCTGGGGGGCGGCGGGGGGCAGCAGAGGCAGCAGCGGCAGCAGCAGAAGCAGCAGAAGCAGGGGCAGGAACGCAAGGCTCCGGAGGGCCCGCGGCTGCCTCTGTGGGGCTGCTCCTGCGGGGTTGCCGACAATTGGGCTTGTCGGACTGCCTGCCGTGCATGTGGCCGCCGTGGCCCGCGCGCTGCCGTAGGGAACACGCCGCCCCCCGGAGCGGCGCGCCCTCCTCCGGCGGCTGCTGCTGGGCGGACCTGGGCGCAGGTGGCGGGTGCCGCGGGGGCACCCCCAGGCGCGGCTCAGGCGGCGGCGGCAGGGCCGCAGTCGGCGGAAGCCCCTCGCGACCCCGCTCCGGCAGCGGCGCCGACGGCTGCGGAGCGCCTCGCAGGCCTACGGGCCCGCATCGCCGCCTTCCAGCCGTTCCCGGAGTGCGCCGCCACCGCGGTGCAGTTGGAGGCGGAGGCGGCAGCCATTGTGGAAGCAGAGCGGGCTGCCCGGCCGCTCGAGCGCAGGCTGCAGTCGGCGGTGGACTCCCTGCGCACGCGGTCCGCGGCGGCCCAGAAGGCGCGGCAGGCCGCCCTGGACGCGCAGGAGGTGGCCGATCAGGCTGTCCAGGCTGCCGCGGCGATGGAGGCCCAGGCGGTGCACGCCGAGGCCGAGGAGGCGGCCGCCCAGCAGGCGCTGGTGGCGGTGCAGGCCGAGGCCGCCGCTGGAGGAGCCGCTGCGCCCGCAGGCGGGCCCAGCGCGCCTGGGGGAGGGCTCGATGCGGCCTTCGAGGCGATGGCGGCCGCGGCGTCCCCCGCCGCACAGGCCGCGGTGGTCGCTCTGCTGGCGCAGCTTCGCGGGGTGTTGGCGGCGCCGCCAGGTGGCGCAGGGCTTGTTGGGCCTGCCGGTGGTGCGGTGGCGGCGGCAGGCCCAGGCGGCGAATCAGGGCTGCACGGAGGCGCGGCGGCTGCGGCGCCGGCCGATGCGCGCATGCCTGCCGCCGATGCTCCTGGGGAGGCCGGACCTCCGCCGGCTCCGCTCGGCAGCGGCAGGCGGCGCGCGGCCTCCGCAGGCGCGAGGGCTGCGCGATGGTACTCCCCGCTCCGGGCGGGGTCCGAAGACGGCGACCGCTCCCGTTCCACGGACCGCGGAGGCTCCCCAGAGGCCCGCATTCCGCTCTTCGCCCAGCCCGCGCACCTGCCGGCCGGGCAGCGGACTCTGCCCTTGCGGCGATGCGCGCGCCTTGCCGCAGCGGCACCTGGCGGTGCATAATGGTGCCTCGCTCGCGCAGCCGTCGGCGTCGGGCACCCTGCAGCAGCCAGGGCGTGCAGGTGAGTGGTGCCGTGGAGGACCCGAATAGCCCAAGTGCAAGCTGCGGATGTGCCGCGGGGCTGCTGCTGGCCGCCGCCCGGGCCGCCACCCGCATGAGGTTGCCGGGCGAGGCTCCCGGCAACCGCCCGGGCCGCGATCGCACGAGTGCGAGCTGCGGATGCGTCGCGGGGCTGCTGGCGCTGCTCCGGCCCCTCCGGGATCCCAGGCTGCTGAGCCCTTGGAGGGGGGTCAGGGTCGGGGAGGCGCGGCGCCCTGGCCCAGGCCGCACGGTCAAGGTGCTCGTGGCCAATGTGACTCGCTGGAGCGCGAGCTGGCGCGGCGCGCTGGCAGCGCAGGCCGTCGTGTGGTGCATGCAGGAGGCCCGCATTCCGAAGCTGGAGGCGGCGGCGGCGGCCGCTGCAGCGCGTGCCCGCGGGATGCGGCTGCACCTGGGCCCAGAGCAGGATGGCGAGCACCTCCTGGCTGCCGCACACGCGCCTGGCAGTTGTTCAGCCCGGGCCGAGGCCATGTCGGGCCTCTCTGGCCGGCACCCGGGCCGCCTCCAGCACCTGGCACTTCACCTGGGAGGGAATCGTGCCGTCCACCTCCTCAACGTCTATGGGTACGCTGGAGGGCGGACCGACCGGGAGCGCAACGCCGACCTGATCCTGGAGGGCCTCGAGTGGCTCCGGGGCCTAGGCGGGGCGCCCGCGCTGCTGGTAGGCGACCTGAATTGCAACGTCGCCGAGTCGGGCCTGGAGGGCCTGCTGGGCATGGCCGGGTGGCGGGACCTCCTGCGGCTGGCCCTGCGCGCGTCCCCCCCGATGGGGCCCCATCGAGGCTGGACTACGTGCTGGCGAATCAGGAGGCGTTGGGGCTCGTCGAGCGGGTCGGCATCCGGTGGGACCTTGGGTTCGCCACCCACGCGGCCCTCTGGGTGGAGTTGCGCGCGTCGGCCCCGGAGCGAGCGCTCATGAGGCGCCCCGTGCAGCGTCTCGACGGCGATGCCATTGAGGGCTGGGGGGCGCGGGAGGCCCGGGAGGCCGCCGCCACGGTGGTCGCTGGCTTCGGCACGCCCTTCCACGGCGCGCTGGGGCGGCACGACGTCGAGGCGGCATGGCAGTCGCTCCGCTCGGCCATGGCGGCATGGTTGGCGAGTCGGCGGGGGCCCCCAGCAGCTCCGCCCCGGCCCCATGCGGCTGCCACGGTGGCCGCCGATCGGCCGCCGACGAGAGGGGGGGGGGGCGACGCCGCGGATATGCAGGCGGACGCTGCCCTCCTCCGCCTTCGCCGCCTGCGCGGCCTCCGTCACGCGCAGCGGAGGGCCCCATCGGCGCGCGAGGTCGCGATGTCCACGCTGATGGCGCTGCGGCAGGCCGACGCCGACCATGCGGTCTGGCGGGCGGCGCTGGCAGACCTGCGACCGGACGTGGAGCTCCCGGCCACCTTGCTGGAGCATGCGGAGGCCGCATGGCGTGCCGCCCAGGCGGCAGCGCGATCCCAGCGCAGGCAGGAATGGCGCCGCTGGGCCCAAGAGAGTTTGGCCAACGCGCAGGGCCGTCTCTATCGATGGATCCGAGGCGGGTCGGTTCTCGAGGCAGATTTGGTGCCCGACCCGGCGGCTGGCGCGGCGGCCGCAGCAGCCGGAAGCCGGAGCTGGCTCCTGGCGCTCCGTGGCGGCCCAGCGGCGCGCCTCCGCCACTTCGAAGGGCCGTGGCGCGCACTCTGGCAGCGGCAGTCGGCGCCGCCGCTGGGCGAGGAGTGGCTTCAGGCTTTGGATGGCCTCCCAGCGTTCCCCGAGCGGGCGCCCTGGACGGCGGAGACGGTGTCCTCGCTGCTTCGCCGCATGCCTCGGCGGAAGAAGCCGGGTCTAGACGGGTGGACCGCGAAGGAGCTTCGATTGCTGCCTCCGGAGCTGCACGGGTGGATCGCCGAGCTGTTCGAGGAGATCGAGGCCTGCGGGAGCTGGCCTAGCGAGCTGGTGGAGCCGGAGGGCCTCCTGCTCCCGAAGCCCGGGGGTGGCGCAGACCCCATGGACAGGCGCCCGATATGGCTCCTGCCCATCTTGTACCGCCTGTGGGCGGCAGGCAGGGCCCGCCTGTTCGCTCGGTGGCGCCTGCGGTGGGCCGGCGAGGAGGTCCAGCGAGGAGCAGAGGAGCTGGCCTGGGAGCTCGCGCTGGAGCAAGAGGCGGCGGAGGCGCTGTCCGAGACGATCGCCGGGGCGGCGCTCGATTGGCGGAAGGCGTACGACCACATCGACTTGGCCTCCCTGCCGGGCATCCTGGCGCGTGCCGGCGTCCCTCAATGGGTGTTGGCCCCACCTGAAGGCCCTCGGCCTTACTAATTGTTAGCAGCACGTGTAAGTAGGTTATAAGTAAGTTGCAACTAGGTTGCAAGTAAGTTATAACCATTAGTAATGTTACTAAGTCGGCTAACTCGGGCGGTGCATTTGGAGGTAGATAGCTTGAGTTAGCGAAGTTGCTAACTTCGCTAACTTTTACAGGCTTACGTGAAAACAGAGCTGCTGCATCGGGTTTTCCTTGGATGTTGCCTCCAGAAACGCACGCATGTGTTTGGATTTTCGGGATCACGCATTTCGGAAATCATGATCCAGACTTGCGTGCGAACGCATTCAGAATATTGCATCGAGCGTTACAAGAATGTTGTGCATTGCAAATGCAACATATCATTTCGAATTCGCAACCCTCTGTTGCACATGTTTTTGAATGTCACTAGAGTTTGGGCTCCAGCCCTTTGGGCGAGGATTGCTGCTGGCGCTTGTGGCGTCCTCCTGCACGCGGCGTGATGAACGCCTCCCGTGAACAGCAGATCGCGGAGGTCCGCCCCAAGATGATGGCCATCAAGGACATGTACTTGCATCCTGATGCAGCGGTGGTCTCATTACTTGAAGACGTATGCAGCATTGCAAGAGGCATAGACTGCCTGAGGGTAGAAAAAATACACTCGAAGTATATGATGGTGTGCACAGAGAATCGTTACGGAGATGGAATCATTCCGAGCGAGGTTATGGATTTGATTTCCAAGATCTTCAAAAATGGATTCAAGAACTCAGCCCTCCAGAATCCAGCTTGCATGGAACTTCCACCAGTGGGCACGCCTGAGTACAATGCAACCAAGAACTTCAATTTCAAAATAATGGAGGACTCAGCGGGCCAGCTGCCGCAGTATGATTGCGATGCAAAGTTCGCATCCTATACGTGCGGCCACACATCCATGGGTTTGCGTTGCATCAACGCAGGGGTTCCAGTACCCACGGTCATGCCAGAGCGTTTCGACAGAATCTCGCACCAAGGGAAATTGTCACTGACGAGGTTACGGGAGGTTCAACCAGACTACGCTAAGGCGTGTGACGAAGGAATTGAGTGGAAGGTCTTTCGGTACGAGTTCGTGAAGGAGTTCCCGTGGATTAGTAATCTTGCTCAGGAGGCTGGCAATGCAGGCCAACAAATTGCCAGATGCGAATCTCGCATGAGTCTCATGTACAAGATCGCAGCAATTGCCAACCGACACCACACGGGTGGCACCATGATCGATTGGGATAGTGTGATCCGCGAGGCGACTCGCGCAGGCTCTCTCTTTCCTGGGGAGATCGATGGCTTAGTAAAATATGTGAAGGAGTTGTCTGGCGGCCTCGGCAACCCGATCTTTCTGAACGAGCTTCGCGACTTCTCGCGGCAGCTGACCTCCCAGTGCGTGGTCACGGGTTCAATGGCGAAGTCTCTCGCCGAGGTGCAGATCAAGCATGAGGGGGCCGCTGCGACATTCAAGCTCGCATGCATGAAGGCGATGACATGTGCGACGGGTAAGTTCGCGAGGGATGGCCATCAGATGCTTTTGAAGCCAGGCGACGTGACCGCCTTGTCGAGCGATAAGAAGTCTACGATTGTAATGGTGGCCGATGAATTTCTTCAGAAAGTGCGACAGATCGCATGCGGTGAGGGCATCACGGCAGACACGGTCGCCTACGGCACCATCGTGGGATTGACTGACGTTCGCGTAGTTCATTTCGTGTTCAACAAGCCCGATGAGCGCTTAGGCACTTGCAAGACGCTGAATGACATCGGGGTCAGCTTCACCACTGCGTTGGCAACGCACGTTGGCAAAGCAGTTGCTAGCCCATGGAAGCAGATCGGTCGCGAGGGCGCATCCAAAGCCGTGACAGGGCAGGCGCGTAGCTCAGATGTGAAAGAGCACGCCGCTTCGGGCAAGTGGTCGAACCAAGTGGACAAGCTCAGTGACAAGGGGTTTGAGGTTGGCGCCAAAGTCGCCTTGGCGAGCGACACCTTGGGTGAGAACATTTACGAGCTGATCTCCATCGACGCTGCGACTGGCGTGAAGTTGAAGCTTCAGGCCACGGGCAGTGCGACATGCCACCCCATCGACGACTTCTTACGTGGCAAGTTCGTCGTGTCCACGATTATGAAGGACAGTCTTGCGACCTCGTCGCAATGCATGTGGAATGCATATACACCCCCACACCTTTGAATTCTCGTTCGTCGTTCCCTCATCTCATTTGGCTCTGCGTCGTCATGTCTCATCTTTTTTTTTCCCGCTGCTCCCCCATAGAGGAAACGATCGACAAGTTCGCTGATCATGGCCCCCTCAAGTCTGTCGATTACCAGTGGGGTATCGAGGAGGCCAAAATCAGGCTGGCCTTGGATGATGTATACAGCCAGAACGGCAACTGTCTCAAGTACTTGAGTGGCGTGATTACGCCTGTTAAGCTTCGTGCTCTCACCGTAACGCGTTCGTTTGAGGCTGAAGAGCTGGTGCTTGCCCCACTCTCTTCGGCAATCTACTTGAAGAAGCAGACTGATATAGTTCAGTGTGGGCATGTGTTCATGAAGACATACAAGGACCCCAAGGGGTTGACGTTCAATATCGTGTTGGCCCCCAGTGGCGGCATCAAGATGCCCAAGGCTGAGACGAACACTGGCGTTGGAGGGCTGAAGCAGGCACCGTCTTCGCTCGTCATCCCCTTCTGGCTCGTACAGGATTCAGGTGAGCACGGCACCCCCAACATGAAGCTCAAGACCGTCAAGTCTACAGCTGTCCCATCAGTGTATGTACCAATTTTGACAAACAAGTGCGCCATCAACAAGGGCGATGTCCTTAGCGCCCAGCTGGCATCGCTCATGCCCAAGCGCAAGGTAGACGACGTGCCTGCTGCGCCCGCGGCTAAGAAGGCCAGGAAGCGATGGGGCTCGCGTGCTGGCAGCATCGGTTACACATACCATGCGTCGTGGGGGGTGTTTATGAAATGTATGAAAGCATCGTCGGTATCGTTCCTCTGCAATCGTTGCATCATTGCGTCAACACGCATCGGACTCGTCTGCAATTGTCCATTGCATCGGCCCGCAGGCGTTTGGCTGATCTGCGCACGCACTGCAGCTGCAGATGGCAGTGAGCGTGCAGCTCCGCACGGTCATCGAGGGGGGCGGCCTTAAGGATCGCGAGCCATGGGTCCCGAGGGCGGTGATGCATACGGCAGGGGGGCTCTTCGTGGAGCTGTCGAGAGCGGATAGGCAGCTGCAAAAATTTATATCTGTGCCCAACCCCACCAAGAGCCAATCGCCTCTGGCGACACATTCGTTTTTCGATCAGATCTTGAAGATGCGCAGCGCCGCTTGCACCGAGGCCATTTGGGACCACTTGAAGCAGGCCGACCCATTGCTTCAGCAAGATTGCGACAGGGCCAGCGTCATTAAGAACAATAGGAGTTCTCTGGATATGTCGCAATCGTGGACGCTTCGCGTATTCCCACCAGGTGAGGAGGAAGGAGAGGAGGAGGATGATACATTGGATGATGAGGTGGAGTGGCGGGGGAGGGGGGCGAGGAGGAGGGGCGGAACCAGAGGGGGATGGTGGAGGAGAAATGGGAGGAGGGAAAGGGGAGGAGGAAGGAGCATAAGGATGACAAAAAAAAAGGATGAGGAGGAGGAATAGGAGATGCCTTAATTCGCTTGCGTGAATAGGCCGCTCTTGGACCACTCTTGGATCGATCTCTTGACCTTGAGACTTCTTGGGCAATCTTGGATCGCGTGATATCTTGGACAAGCTTGGGCAATCTTGGGTCGCGTGATACCCATGCCTGCATGTTGAGGCATCGCGTGATGTTGGGACATATCCGTGGACATCTTGAAGTATATATGAGCCCCTCTTGGAACCACCGTCCAGGCAAACCACTCCCCCAAGGGGGTGAAGGGCGTAGAAGAGAACGTAGAAGAGAACGCATTCTAGACATGTGCCCTAACGGGATGGTGGTCTACCAGAAACTGTCTCGATATATATGCCCGCAGTCCAGTGCGACCATGGTGATGAGCATTTGCATCACGATGCAGTTACCTTGAAGCTTCTGTTTGAGCTGAATGCTACTAAGAAGGTGTGGGTCGAATGTACGCCAACGGGGCTTGTGTACATACGGGTTGCATCTATCGCAGCAGCGGTTTCATGCAGTCAGGAGGCAACACATCGCTTGCGGTCAGCACCAGCAGGGGTGGAAGGTGTGAAATGCGACAAACGTCGCAGGACGGTGTTCATGGTGGTCGACGGCAAGCGTCTGCAGGAGCGAGTGGACGATTGGACTCCCACGTACATCAACAACGCAGCCCAATCCCTTCGTGATCGCTTAGATAACGAGGCACGTGATGAGGCTGAAGCTGATGGGTCCGAGGAGTACTATGACCCGCCAGTCGCAGCAGGCGATGGCTCGCCACCAGGCGATGGCTCGCCACCAGGCGATGGCTCGCCACCAGGCGATGGTTCGCCAGGCGATGGTTCGCCGCCAGGTGATGGTTCGCCAGGCGATGGTTCGCCACCAGGTGATGGGCCGCCCTCTGTTTTCACTCGCCGACGGGAGATGCGCCAGACGACGCTTAGCTTCCAGTAGCTCCACTCCCTCTTCGCCTTCCCACCTCCCCTTCCCTCTCCCTCCAATCTCTATTCTATTTTTGCCTCGCGTGCTCAGTCCGAATCTGGCCCCGCTGGCGGCGGGGACCCAGTAACAGAACTCAGTTCAAGATGCGGAGGGCCATCGTCGCGCATGCCGCTGTTCGGCACATCGGCGTCCCTGCCCATGCTCATGCCCTTGCCCTCGTCGGGGCCCTTGCCGTCATCGTAGCCCCCGCCGCTGTCGAGGGCCGTCGCCTTGCCCTTACCACCGTCGTTAATGCTCTTGCCACCGTTGTAGCCCTCGCCATCGTCGTAGCCCTGGC